ACATTGAGCATTCCCTGATCACTGCAGAGAGCGACATCTCAATTTCCGAAGAGTAGAAAATCGAGGGAATTTAGGCCCACTCACTTCACTGACATGCATTCAAAACACATTTATTCATTAGCACGCACAGCAAAAGGGCTCAAAAAGAGAAAAAATTGAACATAAAGATACCTAAACATGCTTTTAAAAATCTTTTTATTAAATGTTCATGACAGGTTCCAAAAAAATTCCTAAGTAGATTTGTCCGTGATTGCCCAGCGTCCGGCATTACCCATGACTACCCTAAATAAAGGAAAGACCACGGTAGCAAGCTGCTCAACGGGCCCCAAGGGCATGTTTGTGCCAAAAACTCGATAAAAGTCGCAATACGCCTAGAACAAACAACAATGAAAATAAACAAATTAATAACTGCTGGATTTTTACCATTAAATACGGGGCAACATCGAAGCAAAATTGAGTACTTACCAATGAGGTGCTTACTCAACCACACTTCCACCTTTGAACATGTGCACACTTTACAAATAGACAAAATTATCTGCACAACGGCGCTTACTTACGCCAGTACGTCAGTTTTTTTCGCAATCTTTTGAGAAATTAGTTTCGAATTGAATTTCAATTATTTGTTCACAAAAGTGATACCGACAAAACAATGGTAACATGAAGGCAATATTCTAAGGAATTTTCATTGCTGAACAAATGTATAGCGATTGGCAATATATCGCACGAGTCCGGATATCGTGCATAGATCAGTGATCCCGTGGGTGCGTTTTGGTGGTGGTACACAATATAGGAAGGGCATTCCTCTCAACCATCGACCGCATTGCCTAACCTTTGTTTTCTCGGCTGATTATGGAACTATATGGTATAACGAATAATTTAAGCCCTTACAACATTTTCAAAAATTCATCTAAGTCACGTTACCGATGACGTCAAAAATGTTCTGTTTCCTAGACTGAAAATCATTGTAACTTCTTGAGTATACGTCTGACTTCAATATAGCCACTAGATTCGGGCTCGCCTGAAAGAAAGCTTTCCAATGATATATACAAATCACTTTTTTAACGATGTCAGTAATTTTCAATTATGACGTCATCATTTTCAAAACGGCCGTCGACCAGCGAGCTGACTCTAATTTTGCTAGGCACAATTTGGCATTATCGCAATTTGACATCATGCATGATTTTGCTTGACACTTTCTTATAACGGAGAAGAAGCTGTTCTTTCGCCATCCATAGTTTTTCGTTAGTATTATTTTAATTTTACTGATTAAACCTAAAATAATTGTTTCCGAAGACCGGATCTGAAGCCGTCGGTACAAAATCGAGCTTTGCACAAAGGCCAAGGGCTTATATTATTGGCATTGCCAGGAGGCAGGAGGAAACAATTATTATATGGTTTATTACTTTAAAGCCTTTGTTTAATATCCCTGACAGGGCTAAATAACTTGCCAATCACTCATAAGATGCCTGTCTATCCAGTATGCAAGGAATACCTTGATTCTTTCTTAGGTTTGTTCTTGACATATTTCATGTTTTTGTTCATGCGGATGAAATGAGGGAGGCAAAGATAAACAAAATTATGTGAACGAATGTTGACTTGTATAGTCAGGTCAAGGTGCTGATGGGTTGCTTGTATAGTCAGGTCAGATTGATGCAAAAAACTGTTGACACTTGAAAATCGTCAAAAAACTGAAAAGTGTCTGCTTTGTTGAGCATGGTAGCAGCTGTGCAGAAAAGCAACACTAAGCTACTTTTGCTAGCAGTGCGAAATATGATTCTGCTTACATTTACATTGAATCACATCAACTATGCCCGCTACTGTACATACCAACATCTGCTTCTCCATTGCACTTGGAAATTTCAAAACAAATTCTCTGCAATTCATTGCGATTTACATACAGAGCTAAAGGGATACTATTTAACCAAGAAGCTTAAGGGCCTGCAGGTCCATACAGGGACTTCAGCAAACTTTAATGCGGTTAACACTTGGATTGCTACGTCTCACACTCATAGCAAGTTTAGAGACGCTCTGAAGCAATGCTTTTTCGCAAAGTCATCATTAATTCACAAGTACAGCATTCCAGGTGGGACAAAGCTCCTTCAGAAGCATAATGATAGCCTTGGGGAATTCTTCGAAGCTATGACACAAATCGGTTTTCTGTTGCTCCTGCAAAGTCGACTTCAACTGGCGAAGAATTAGATCAATAAAGTTCTACTGACCTCCTTGCAGCGTCGATCATAGGAGAAGAGAATATGCATCGCTTCACAAATGATCGCCTAATTAATGGCAGCGTTTAATGCTTCACGCCGATCAAGAAAACAAAGCTGAAGACAGATCTGGAAAAGCTGCAGCAATTACCGTGGTCAAGGAACACAAAACAGGCCTTTAACTATTCATTTTGGAAGGAAGGAGGAGGCAGGAAGTCTGCAAGAGGTGTTTACTCATCCCATTACAACCATTCCTCTTTCAATTGCTATCGCTACAGCTGGTTTAACTTTGTGTCAGTCAAACAAAGTAACTTTGCAACGACTCTTGCTCGAAGATTGGCAATGGATCAAAGACATGCCTCCTAAGTCTGCCGTTTGGATAGTAGACGGAGTGGTAGCATTTCGCTCCATCAAACCGATGCCAACGTACCGAGCACGGATGCACAGCCTTATCAAATTTGTTGCTCCTGAAGCTGGGTATAAGCTGGTGAACCAGGGCCAAGAGGTCATTTAGAAGTCTACTACCAAAACATGTTGCAAGGATATAAATGCCACGAGCTCCTGTATCGAAATTAGAAGCAAATTGATTTTATAAGAATGATTTTTGAAGGAAGACACATTGGGCTTTTGCTTTTCTCGATGTTAAACGCAAATGGTTCCCATTTCGGAAGAGATCTTTGCCTCAATCTACAGGCTTTAAATGCTTTATCTGGGTGTAATTCTAAATCCTATTTCCGCAACGTAGGAAAGGTAAGGTTGCTGAAGACAGTCATGAAGAGCCCGCGATACCTTGAACTGCTTGACAGCCTTGGAGAAGAAAAAGTGGTTAGTGATAGCGATATAAAAGATTTTCAGAAGTTTGTTCAAATGGTAATGTATTCTGGTAAGGTCAAGAGAAGCTATGTGGAAACAAGACTAAAAATGTACAACAAAATGAAACTAACATTAAACTACTTCCTGATTCACATTCCTAGAAGATAGCCATTCTGAGAGCGCGCAGGGAAACCTACTGCCGGTTGCGTTGCATAGAGCCATCCGTCAATACTTTCTTTCGAAAGATGTGGCTGGAAGGGTCTTCTGAAGAGTCTTCCTTGAAATCTTTTTGCTTCACGTGTCCCCTGCTGCCTCCTTCTTTGAAGTCAAGACGGAAAAACAAGAACAGACTTTCAGAAAGCGTTGGGGCAGATGTCGAAAGTGGCAGTGAAAATCTCCCTGCTCCAAAGAAATGCAAAAGATGTACAGGGGTACCAAAATAGGCCCGTAGTGTCGACGAAATCAGTGCTAGTAACGAATACAAGGAAACAACAGACCAGGTAGACTCTGACCTAAGTAGCCCTGAACTTTCTGATGAACTGGAGAGCGAATGGGAAGTTTATGGCATCAGTTCTTCAGGTTCTGGCGGTAAATGGATTTGAGGCGAATATATATGTACCTTGAAACGTTAAATTAAGTGATTCAGAATAACTACCTGACAAAACATTGCCACAAAACGATCCAGAAATGCGTTTGATTAGATCAGAGCTTTGTCTTAAAATGTACTGTTCGACGGCCATTTTGAAAGTGATGACGTCATCATTGAAAATTGCTGACATCGTTAAAATAGTGATGTGTATATATCATTGGAAAGCTTTCCTTCAAGCGAGCCCGAATCTAGCGTTTATATCGAAGTCAGACGTATACTCAAGAAGTTACAATGATTTTGGGTAAAGGAAACATAGTTTTTTTGACGTCATCGGTAACGTGACTTTGATGAATTTTTGAAAATGTTGTAAGGGCTTAAATTATTCGTTATACCATATAATTCTATAATCAGCCGAGAAAACAAAGGTTAGGCAATGCGGTCGATGGTTGAGAGGAATGCCCTGCCTATAGGTTGCAGGACTGAAAGATACAGCGTAGCTGAGTAGCTGAACTTAACTTAAATGAACATAAAAAAGACAGGCTTATGCTCATTACGATAAAAATGATTGCGTCAACTTGTTATTGTCTATTAAATATATGATATAATAAATTTGTTTCATTTGATTCATTTGATTTATTGAAATATACCAGTGAAAAAAGACACAAGCAAAATAAATTTTACATATTACATATGAAAATAGATACCCCAAGAAAAAACGATTGGAATTTTGTATAACTCAACCAAATGCTCCTTTTGTAAACTTTTAGCGAGAAACAAATTTCTTGGTGAATTTGCGCATTACCCGCCAGGGCCGAACTAAAGGAGGGCGTTTTTTCGTCGGCACGGACACATTATTGTTTCTCGCTCTGTAAGTATGATCTTTATGTAACAGTACCAACGTGTTAAGATTTCTGTAGCAGCACAACTTTAAAAATATTTCACTAGAAATGCTTCCAATTTAGTTTTTAAAATTCCAAACACTAAAATATAAACACATAAAAGAAGCAGATAAGATTACTTATCTTATGACCACACCACACCCAAAAAGAGTGAGACAGGCACTTTTTGTCGGCAAAAAGCAATACTGTACGCCTCTGAAATATTTTTTGGTTTAGCCCCTGTGACTTTCATAGGTCGCATAAGAGTACGATAGATGTGGCAAGGAATGGCTAGAAATATGTTTATAATAGAAATGATATCTAAAACTGGTACCAAATGAATACGCAAACTGAATTAACTTTAAGTCAATATGAAGTAGAATCAATTATATTCAGTCAAAATTACGAACAGTAAAACATGACAACAACGGCATGAAGTTGTACCAAAAGGCTGGCGAAATTTGTAGATAGAACGTACCAGTACAAGAGAATGATAATATGTAAATGACTTACTGTGGTGCACACTTGCGAAACGGTAGATTGTCGTAATGTAGCGATATATTGAAGAAGATGGTGAGCCATACAGCTCAAGAAGCTTGCTTGATTTCTCTGACCTGTCTTCGTGGTCGTAGCATTCAAATAACCTTGTGTGGCCTGTATCCCATTCCTAACAGTGATGTCTCCGGGTAAGCTAAAGAACATGCAAGATTAGTCACACACGTCGTGCATTAATCCTACTGCGGCGGTGTAAAAAATAAGGGGTTAGCCTAAATAAGTGTTAAAAACAAACAGTTGCTCCACGTGCCAGAAGGATATTTATTTTATTCCTCGTATTTTTCAATTCATAGAGCGGAGGGGGGGGGGGGGTCAGGTTTAATTTCCCTACAAATGGAAACAGCCATCTTTATCTGCCAAATAGTTCAGGGATGACGAAGTCCATTTTGGGGTCGGGGGTCTCTAAACAAACTGCGGAGGAGATACATAGCAGCAACAACCACACGAGCCAATTCTCTTTCTCTGCGACAAAATGGCCGATTCAACCATGAAGGAAAGTGTGGCTGTTTTCTTAAAAGGAATTGACAGGTTTATTGTATATTTTGTTTTTTGGTTTGTAATGATTTAGTGTGTTTTGAAGAGTTCTTTCCCGCCATGTCAAATATGAAATTAAATACAAGGAATAACTACAGAGATATCTTCTGGCACGTGGGGGAGCGGAGCGGTGTTTTCTTTCGTTGTTGTTCGGCAGCGCTGTCCGCGTTCTCCACCAATTCCAAAATTTAAATTCTGGTCTGTCTTTTCCTCTTCATATTTTCTATCACTCGCCCACTCATATTCAATCTAAGCCTTGAAGGTACTGTTTAAAGTAAGTACATGCATATACCAAACATATTTATTTTTTATTGTTTACTCAGGGCATGCTAAGGCAGCTCGAGAGTTGATTTGGACATGAGATACTACAAACTAAAATAACATAAAATAACAACTTGCAAATAAAATTGCAGTAATTTTACATTTTGTGTAGGGTCATCAAGTCGCCCTGATTGAATATACCTGGATATATATAAATTGAAAATTTTCTATTTGCGCTTATGTATTTTCAAAGATCCTGTTTTCAAAAATTAAGAACAGTCAGTCTTAACTTAAATTTACTGGTTCTTATGAAAAATAGAGTGTAAATTTTTTTAGAACTGTTTTCAAGAGTTTTTGTTTTTTGATTGTTTTGCAAAGTCTTTTGGATAAGCTTGTCTTGGCAGTATTGAAAGCTTGTCTTAGCTTGCACTGCTCTGGTTTCCTGTTCATAATGACAACCTCTGTCAAAGCATGTGTGGGCTACATTTTAGGAATATGACTTTGATGTCCGCTCCATCAACCTATCAATTCTATCTTTCAAGCTACCCCTTGAACTAAGATCAAGGCATAATAATTTCAAAATGTACCTTTAAGCACTCTTAGACTTATTAAGCCATTGAGAAAACAGGGGATTGAGAATCCATCCAATTAACACAACCAGAGAACTGCAAATTAACCTTAAAATAAATATGTGGTTTGATCAAATTTTCAAGAGTTTTTGGTCTGCTTGAGCATTGGATAATTTATTTCATTTTTATTTTGAAAAAAATTTGAAATAAAATCCTCAGGAATGTTATTTTACATTTTATTTCCATTTTATAATTCTATTGAATTATCAGAAGTCGTAAAAATTTTAGGATGCGAACCTTGTGGCTTCTTTATTTCTAAGACCTCTGCCCAGTAATTAGTTGTAAAATTCCGGTTACTGTGCTTAGGGTATCATTTTTCCACTTCGGAAATGATTAGTTCAAATTTATCTTGCTTCCATTGGGGAGTAGGCAATCTGATCCTTAACTTAACACCTCAACAGACTGATTGTAAGGGATTAGTATAGTGGATATCACCATGCATGATAAGGTGCCAGTAAAAGCTTGCTCAATGTGAGCCCAGTCTTATCGACCTAAATTCCTGACAATGCCCTGATTGAAGGGTACCCATATGTTTTTCAGGGAAGCAGGAATCATCATTTTTTTGGAGTCATTAGGAATTGGTAAACTTTGGGAAACAGGTTCCAGAATTGATAAGACCAGGATTCGGGATTTGATGATTAAGAATTAGGATGTTGGTTCCTATTACAGTTATATTTTGAAAATTCATCTTATCTAATTTACACTGCTTAAGTTTTGTTTTGCAAGTGAAATTTTTTTTGGTTTTATTAAAAAATATTTGGTTTTGTAGCCTTTCCCTTCTATTCAAGTTCTGTATGTTTATTTCTAAAAGAATGCAAAAATTGTTGTAATTAAGGGCTCTATAAACAGTTCCAATGAGTACGCTGTGTGACTTCTGAATGACTTTGACCCAATTTGCGTTAAGGTTTCTGTGCCTTAAATCCTCTCTAGGTAGAACATTGGATCTTCTTCAAGTTAACAACACTACCTCCACCTTTCTTATTGATTCTGTCACATCTTCTCATATCATATTCATTGATGGCAATTTTTCTGTCAATGGTCTTTTTGTTTGAATGAGATTCTGTGATTCCCAGTATATTTTGCATGTTTTTAGCAGCATTTGTATCTCTGCAGATTTGCCAAGCAGTCTGTAACAGTTATTCATCTAAGAATTAAATCCTGCAAAAAATTATTTTGTTATTCTTGATATTATTCTGATCTGATTCATAGACACAGGCTGACAAACTACTCTTGTTCACTCTCCCCAAGCGTGTATATTCAATCAAATTTAGATCTACCCCTCAGGATGTACCCAGAACAATACCTCTTCCTGAAACACAGTTCCTACAATATCTACACCTGACTCACAGGTTTAGGCCTAGGTGTAGATTTATTTCACCAGTTGGTATCATTAATGAATCCAAAAGAGCAAAACACCTCCAATAAAAAGCTAGTTGGCCACCATGTTTCACTTTTAGGCCAGTATGATGTTGAAATACCCCATCCCTCATGCAGGACTATAAAGAAAAAACATTGCTCTTTTTAAGTAGGCTAGAGAGTAAGGTGAGTTGTTGTAACTGCTATTGAAAATAGCTTGATTCCAGGAATTGATTGTCATGAATAAAAAAAGTGCAATTTAAATAGTAGCTGTTCTTTACATATGAGCACTGTTCGTGATCTTGTTCATATTATGAAAAAAATAATGCTGTCTTTTTGTTGCAAGATTCTGTCATATATTGTGTTCTAATTCAATAGGACAATAAACTTTGACACCTTCATCCATGTTGTTTAAACCTTTTTTTATTGTAGTTCATAGTTCGCAATATCATACTCACCACTGAAATATGGGCGTTCTTCCTGAGGGCTAACTATTTATCATTAGAATGAATATATTACAGTTTCAACACAATGCTATGAAATGTAAGAGGTAAAATGTTAAGGTTAAGAAGGAAGCAACTTTAGAAATAGATCTTCAAAAGTTTGAAACATCTGAGTCTTTTATTGATCCTGTCAGTAAGCAATACATTGCCAATATTAACAAAATTTTATCCAATCAACAATATGGCTATAAGTTAATTTTAAGATGTGATTTCTTACAGATACAATCCAGAAAATCTCTCTTCATTAGAGCATTATGTTCAAATGCAGGTAAGTGATTTTTCATTTTTTCTTTTGATTTTATATACTTTTGTTATTGAAGGATATTCTTTTATGGTTAAATCAAGCTCTAATTTCTCCTTAAAACAGCTGTATTCAACAGAATTGAACAATGTAAATATCAGCCACCTACAAATGGTTTTTTATGACATTTTGTTAAGCTCATTTTGGACTGACAAATTAAAGGATATAATTTCCCCTCACAAAAGTATTTGGACTGTTTTGAATCTAGTTAAGTGAATCTGTTGTTGGGTATATTCACTTAGAAATTTTCAAGGGCAGATTTCATGAAAACATTTTCATTAATGTCCTTGAATTTTTTTTAAAGCTTCTTTGGCCATTGAACTACTCATTTGCCAAAAAATTGTCTTATTGAAAAGCAAACTTTGTGACTGTTTTTTTGTGTAGTTGGTAGCAACCGAGACAAAAAATTGACTTATGAACAGTTTCTGGAAGTAATTTTTTATCACAATGTCGTGAAAATGCTATCATTAAATTGCTAATGTCATTGTTTACTCAAAATCTTATTAAAACATTCCAACAGATAATTTCAACATAGTGCTGCTTTCAACATATTAAGAAAAATTGAAAAACAACAGTTTGTCATTGTCATTGACAAGGACTCTTGTGACGCCAACAGCGAAAAGGTCCACCCTAACTGATTTGAATGTTCACTGAAAATTGGACTCTCCAAAACTATCGGTTTATATTGCAAGGAAAATAATAAAAAATTACAAATATCAATTTCAGCAAGAATAGCATCAGCATCGGTGAAGAAATAGTGTGGCTTTATGACCATGCACTGAATCATATTTCTGCTTTGCAAGAACCTTTAAGAGCTGGTAATATTTTACCAGGCAGATGTTACCAGATTTTTTAATCAATCCGTGTCATTTCCATGCAAATTCTTTTACCAAACGAGAGTAAACATTTTGTATTCTCCCCTTAATGTTTTTATCTCAAGAACAATTATGTAAAAAATTAACATAATGTTTTATTGGCCCATTTGAACTCCAATTCATCTGAAATTTGCTGTGTTTCTTTTATTTGACATCGATTGATTTGCATAAGGCTTGTTGCTCAAAGGTTTCTTATGCTAGAAGGTGGAACGTTCAGACGTTTTGGAGCATTTTAATGTATTGGTTCATTTTGGAAGGACTTAAAAAAATTATTACCACTAGATTAAGGAATCATTATCACCAGCCTGAATTTGTTTTTGTTTGAGAGAGCAAATATTGTCAAACTGTCTGGATACTTTTGTGAGGGCAGTGTATTATAATGATAATGCAAAGCATATTATTGCATTTCTATGATGCTGCATTATCTTTTCAGGCAATTGAAAACACATACAATTTGGATGCAAACTTGGCAATTCTGAAGTTGTATGTATTATCTATACTTGTTTGATTGAAAATCGAAACCAAAACAATGTGCAGTTTGAATAAGTTTTCCAAGCAAAAAGAAAATCAATAAGCACATTGAAAAAAACCTATCTAATTTCTATCAAGTCTCCTCAAGGACTTGAAGAGGGTTATGGTAGTTGTAAAAACAATTTATCAAAAATTGAGTGAAACAGGATTTTCAGTGCCTGTTTACACTGTTAAAAAAAGGTAAATTTTCCTTTATTCACATGCTTTCAAGATTTTCTGCATTAACCGTGAAAATCAGTTCAATGATCCAGTGTACAATATGCAACCAAAGCAGATTTTTTAGATTTCCAAGGGGCTGTTTATTAGAAGTATGCTCAAAGAATGTGATTGATTGCATTGGTAGCACAGCTTATTTTCTGTTGTTTTTAATCTGTGATGAACATATATGTTTTTCTTTTTAATACCAATACACTCTTCTCAAGAATGGTCCTGATCTTTCTTTTAATTCAGTTTTCTCTATTTCAGGTATCAGTTTAACCCCTCCCTTTTCAAGGAGACTGTCACTTGTCAGATTTTGCTAAAAGCTTTGATGAATTTACCACAAACTGATTTTACATTATGCAGATGTTTAATCAGTGAAAATTTTGTATCCTTTCACATATAATTATGTTTTATGTTTAGCAATGAAGACTTATTTAGCTTCTCCTTTTACTAAGGGTAGGACAATTCAATATTTCCTAGATGCTGCTTTAATTTTGGAAGTTTGATATCTTACCTGCCTTCTGTTGGTGATAGGACATTTATCATAATACTTCCTAAATGCTGCTTTTATTTTTACAAGTATGATATCTTACCTACCCCTTCCATTGAAAGTAGGACATTTATTTTAACATTCCCTAGTTAACATTCCCTATTCTAATATTTGAACATTTAACATTTTTATTATTAATGCTCGATTGGTTGTTTCAACTTAACTACTTCCTAGCATGAGCTGCCGTCAATATCAAAAGTAACAGAGCTTTCAAACAAACTTGAAATGTGTGAATTTAGGGAGTTCTGGGTAAATATTGATTGTTTCATTTATAAGTGAAAAATGTGTTTTGATTTTTTTTATTTCCAAGTACCTTCGCCTTTTTTGGTCCGTAACCTGGTTTCCATTTTATTTTAATTTCTGTTCTGAGGTAGGAGTAATGGGCCCGAACCATCATGTGTCTTTCCACTGTGGCATAAGGCAACACTGTCATCCATTACACCACAAGGGAAGACAGTTGCCATATTTTAATAAAGATTATGTTTTATGCATGTGCTGTATAGAATATGATGCCATATAAACAGAACTGTGCACGCTAAATGTGTAAAAGGTCTTGTAAACGGCTCTCTTTTAATTATATTTAATTGGTATCCCCTGGAATATTACAAATCCCATTTGTTCACAGATGTTAAATAGGGTAAAAACTTCCGCACTAGACAAAGATCCAAGTTTATCTTTTACGCAAGAACCAAAATAAATTTCTATATAATATAGACCAGAGGTGAGAGGGGGAGCATTATCACCTGAGCTGGCAATTAACCAGACTAACTTTTTCTGACTCAATTTTTTGGGTAGATTACGAATCCGGATGTTGCTTTGGCGTTTAGGGGGGCGTTTTTTAGATATAGGGGGTCAAAGACCAAAAACACGCGATGTGACCTAATTTGACCGTTTTCCGCTATCACACTTAAAAAATTGGTAATTTTTGTTATTATCTGGTGATGTAGTAATCTTACAAAAAGACAGTGATAATAGTTTCAAAGTTACGTATTTTTTAAATTATAAGAAGTTTTGAAAACTTGTTGTTCAACATCGTTCAAAGAAAAGGGATCCGTTGATATAGACAAAGCTCTTCCTAATCCTCTTGCCCTTGCAACAACTGACGAATACAGACGTAAAACAGCCAAGATACTAATGCTACTACATACAGCATTAAAATCAATCATGGTACCAAAAAGCCCGGTGCCAAAAAATAATCTGGCAAAATAATCAGTGAAAAATAATCGGTGAAATTTCGGTGAGAATTTGAAAAATCTTCGGAGTAAAGAAATGAAAAACTTTCTGTAAGTTATTTTTATCTTAAACATTATCTGTTTTATCTGGAGCACAATCATAAAAGTTACAAAAATCGAATGCTTTGATGCATACCAAGAGACAATTGAACTATCAATATAAGGAAAATTCTAAAAGATCATCGGGACATAATTTCAAAAGATATAGAGATAGTATTAAAAAGACGTAAAAAACATTTGAGATCTAAAAACTAAAACATGGGTAACACCCCTCCCCCAAGAATTCTGAATCTGTTCTTAACTCGGTAGATTCGGCATTCTTGGTGCTTACTCAGCAAACTTGGTGGTGGCGTTAGTTAAAAAAATCAATAATAGTCGATGGTATATTTGATTGTTTTCATTTTCATTTCGATTTGTTCCTCTTCGCTCCTCGGCACGTTAATATTTCAACCGTTAATTTGCAAACTGAAACCAGTGGGAGCTAAGCTCCACATTACAATTTTTCAGCGTTGGGTGCGCTAATGATGAGAATGACTACTAGAAAATCGATTAAAACCGTCAAATAGCGTTCCAGCCGCGGATATTTATTTTAAGAATAAGACTGTATTGTAAAGTAGTAAAAGTGTTTTTAATGAGTGAATTTTCCAGCAAACTGGAAGCATCAAAGTTCAAACATTTCCCCCACCTTTTGCGGCAACCAGGGTGCCGCTTCAGGTACTAACTTTCGTATAATGGTTCCTAATTCCTATTCTGTTTAATGATTAAATGACGTCTTTTTTTATTACTCAGAAAAGTTTAAAGCTTTGTGAATATAGAAAAATCATGGAAAAAGACCTACAAGGAACTTTCTTAGCATATGTCTTTTGTCTTTTTAGGGATATTTTATTATAAAAGCGAGTTCCCCACAAAAGAATATTAATCACGCTCTAAGTAGCTGTTCTTTCTTGTTTGTTACATTCATGTCCTGTCATAGTCGCAATTGCGTCTTTTTGCAATTGGGATTCCATGCTTTCTCTCCTATTCCATAGCCCCCCTATCGGATTGTCAAGCCCCTCCGTCGGAGAATTTCTAGCACCATAATTAGTAGTCTCAACTCAACGATCGAGTAATATACTTTGCAAGAAAAAATTCTTGTGTTAAGATCAAAGTCAAACACAAACCATGGGAAAACAGATGCCAAAATCTGCTACCTACTCCACCTACCCTGGGTACCAGACTCATTATATAATATAGCGAGTTTGGTACCCAGGGTATACTCCACCATGCCCTACAGATGAATAATGGACAGGAGACAGTTTGCATTGTGCGCTCTGGAGATGTTGATATTCTTGTTATCCTTTTAGCCAACGAAGCTAAAAACTTGCATGTCTTTATGGAGTACGGAAGAGGAAAATACAGGAGACTACTGGATCTAAATGCTTTTGCGCAATCTTTATTGCGGAAGCAAGCGCTCCTTGGCCTGCATGCTGCCCCCATGTAAAAGCAGCCTCGAAAAACACTTAAAGCGGGCAAACTTTGAAGCAAGGGTATAGAGACAAGCTAACAAAGCAAAATCAACAAAGAAGAACCAGTCAATCACGGCTGGTTAGAAGACCTGTTAATTGATTGGTTCACGGAGCCCTACTATACTATCCTGAGGACATTGCGGAGCTATTGTTTGCAAGCGAAGAAAAATAAAGCGAATCATAAGGAGAAAGCGAATAAAGTAAAGGCTTTAAGAATACAATAACAGTGAAATTCCCCTTCCCTGTAATTGCCTGTCCTCCCCCCCCCCCTCCATCAATGCCAGAAAAGGCCAATTTTGACAGAGCATTGATCAACACACCAATTTTCAATAAAATTTAACATTTTCTAATGTGCAATAATTAAATACAGTCAAATTGGGACAATTTGTGTTTTTTGGTCTTTGACCCCCTATATCTAGAAAACGCCCCCTTAAACGCCAAAGCAACATCCGGATTCGTAATCTACACAAAAAATTGAGTCAGAAAAAGTTAGTCTGGTTAATTGCCAGCTCAGGTGATAATGCTCCCCCTCTCACCTCTGGTCTAATAGACATCAATACGTTTTCTGAGAATCAATTTCATGGAAAAGTTCTGTTCATGTGCATTCAATCTGCAGATACGTATTTCATTGATTAATTGAAACTTTGTTGTAGAGGGAGCTAGAAGAATCAAAAGAATTAATTGGAGGCATAAAAGGATTTGAAGAATCAATAAAAAAATGTGAGTGCTGTTGCATGGGAAAATTCTTTTTGTTGAGCAATGATGTGTTTTTTTTAAGATGTTATGAATTTATTGGGTTTTCTCAACTAAACTTCTCTAACCATCAGGAAACTTGAAACATAATATTGGATTTAGTTGCAAGATTTTACGAAACCCACTTATCAAGTATCACAGAGGTGAAATTTATCTCTTCTTTCTGGTCCCTGGCTTCTAAAATTTTGTTTCTCAATTTCATGGTACCCAATGTTTCCAGCTGGTGAATTCACAGAAAGCCTGGAATCTCCGTTCACCTTGTTCCTCCCAGGATAAAATCTTATTGTTGCATCATAGTCCCTTTTCACAGGAGTAGTTGTTACTGATGTAAAAAGGCTTGGTCAGGAGGGCTTAAGTCCTCAGGAGGGCTCTATGTTGAAACTTCCTTTGTAATCACATCTTCAGAAGAAAACGAAATTACAATGATTTGATATAAAGAAAGAGCATGTGCCCATCTGGCTATAGTTCAGGGCAGATGTAGCTGATTTTACACTTTCGGAAGTATCTGATGGTGCTTTTTAAGATTATGTTAAATTTTATAAATTTTAAAAGTATATTGACAACTCACGAGGACAATATCGTGACCAGTTTCAACTTTGAACATCTGTTGCATAACAAAATGAGCGTTTCCTCCAATTTTCCAAGGCTGCTTTCTAAAAAGACAGATGGATTTACGTTGGAGTTCCGTTTTAAGTTTCCCTGCCATTAGCTTGAATTGTCAGTTTTAATATTTAGTTCTTCAACCATTTTAAACTTCACACATATATATTACTGCTAGTATCACAATAAGCCCTTTTGTCTGTGAATTTTGCCGTCTTTTTAAAGATTTTTCGTTCAATTCTTTAGTTATTGTTTCTGTGCTGAATGTCACATTCCAGTTAATAGACAAGGTTCAGCTAACAGAAATGCTCGGAAATCTATCAGGTGAGGCCATGTTGGCTTTGTCTACGTAAATCCATTTAATTTCTCTTTATATGACAGAATCTGGCATAAAGGGATTGAAGACACAACAGCATAGGTTTTAAATGGAAGAGGTTGTGTTTTATTCCTCAGAATTTTTGACAAGCCATAATGAAGATTTTAAACAAGATGATGAATGTTAAATAGTAAAGGATTATCAATTTTTTTGAATAAGCACACACCTCTTCAAATGAATAGTGTGAATAGTTTATATGAAACAGAAACAGATCATTCAAGGCGTCTCCGTTTGGACTTTTGGTTCTTAATATCGTATTAGTCTATCCACATCTTTAGAAATATGTGTGCATGCTCGAGAAAGTGCACACAGTCACTTTTTTAACTTGTCTTTTAAATAAGCGCACAGCGTGCTTATCCGAGAAAATAAAGATTATTACTTCCAAATAAAATCTCCTTAAGAATTTTAACTTGCACGTCTTTCAGATGAAGATCTTAAAAGGATGTGCCTGGAACAACAGTGGCAAATCACCGGCGATCAGGTTTTCATTGCAAACCAGGAAGAGCACATTAAATCGAAAAACATCACAGAGAAAATCACATTTGAGAGTAAGTCCTTCTAGTGCAACTGGTGCCTAAATGAGCTCGTTTCTTACTCCTTTTTCTTTCTTTCTTTCTTTCTTTCTTCCTTCCTTCCTTCCTTCCTTCCTTCCTTCCCTCTCCTTTGACTTAATTTAAAAGCGTTGTTCTTGAGTCAAAATTTTAAAAATTAAAACAGCCTAATTTTTCAGATGTTCTTAAGAAATTTCTTATTTCGATTATCATCGTTTTTACAGACATGTCCCACATCATCAGAAGTTCTACTTGAAGTATTTCCGGTTCAGAGAAGCCCTTATGCGCAATTATGTAGAGACCTTCGTGGTTACATTTTTCCATCTTATGTAAATTTCTTCTTTTGAATTATGAAAGGTCATGATCATATCTCAGTTTTCTTTTTTGAATAATCTACAAAATTCATTCGTCTCTCTTTGGAAAAGCCGGAGCTGGTTGCGTATAATATTCTATGCTACAACAATTTTATCGCTGGCCACTTGCTCGTGCGCAGTGCAAACATGCCCTATGATATCATCCACAGTTGTGATTGCGTATTGGTGTGCGCGGTCCTTCTTTTTGGCTAGTTAATTGTACTGTGGCTACATTATACATCGAAAACAATCCAATGTGTAGAACGTGCTCATACTTCATCCCAACTATACTCTGAAGCTTTGATAACTTTAATGAAAGAAAAACAACAACAAAAAAGGCAGGGATTGGGGCCCGGCTTTAATGTTTTTTTTCTATGGCCTACCTTGCAGTCTTCGACCTTGCGGCCGACATGGAAGTAGAAAAAAGGAACACTGCAACGCTCCGAAACACACAACAACGAATACAAATGAACTCGGGAAGCATAAAAAACAAAGCACAAAAGAAAGCAGAAATGCTTTCATTTTGATTCTTGCACGAAATTTTGATTCCTTTAGTGTAGAAAATTTGCCTAGTGGAGCAAAGTACACATCTGTGTCAAATGAAAACTCTACGTTATTCAATTATTACATGAATTATTTGATTTTTAACTACTTCCGGGTTACAACTTGGCACTAGTATCCCAGTTGAAAATAGGACAGGAATATAAAGTTTTGGTCTGATCTTATCCTTTATTGAAAGAATAAAACAGAATGCAAATACAAAAGATGTCTTGCCTGTTACTTTATGGGGACTTTTTTGACAGATCAAAACATAATGGAATAATGTAGTTTCTGTTGGGAAGAATCCCTTATTTCGCTCTCTGATTTATTTTCTCAAAAAACCCGCTTTTAAAGAATCTGTGTCTCATGCAAAGTACACTTTATTACGCGAAATTACGGGGTGTGACTTAGCTAAGGAATGCCACTTAAAAAATTCCTTACAAAACGCACCTTAAATTTTGCATCCTCTTCATCACGCCTTGATTTTGGAAATCCTAAATTTACGATTTATTTTTATTCTAATTTTGTTCTGCATTTGTGCAATGATTTTGCCTTATAAAGAATGTTTACTTATGCAGTACGCGCGATGGGCTAATTTTTAGGCGAATATTAAAAATAGGATATTTTCTTAAAATAAGGCTCTGTCTGATCAATCCTTAAAATTCAAATGTAGATAAAAAATTCCTTAATAAATTGAAAATGCGTTTGTGAACAAAGAATTCCCTAATCAATTTAGTTGAAAAATTCTTTAATTAATCTTTCTTTATTTTATTGCTTAATTTGGTTGCGCCGGTAATTTCGGTAATGTAATATAAGGTAGACCTCTTAGTCAGAAAAATCATGCGTGCGCTGGAGGGTAATAGAACTTTTCATTTGTACCATCCTGGTCCGGGTGTCTCCTTGGATAATTTTCTACGGCCAGAATCAGGGCCGATTAGAGCCATCTCGGACCCGGGAGAAAGCAGGGGCCTTTGGCCCCTCCTTAACCCCTCCTCAAATCTGCAGCCTCGTTTTCAGTAAAATACGGCAATATGGCGGGGAGTGTAACCAAAGTTTTGAAGTCAGTCGATTTCGAAGTTTTTGGAAAAGTGCAAGGTACGAGAAGTTCGAAAAAAATACAGAACCTTGGAATTTTAAACAAAATATAAAATGCTTTTAATGTAAGCCGGCATTTAGTGCTCAAAAACGGGTACGCCATCCTACGGTTCCCAGTAGGGTCTTCACTTTTTATTTTTCCATTACCGAATAGAGCCTGAAAATATACAAATTATATATTAGCAGCATTTATTAGAAAGAGCATTTTCTAAATTTTTTGTCGAAGTACAAAACTGCTATTTTTTACAAAAGCTTTGTGTGTACTTGTACTCAAAATCCTTTTTCCTTTTCATGTAATCTGATGGTGTCACCAGGTGTTTTCTTTAGAAAGGTGAGTCGGTATAATGCAGATTGATAATAGCATCCTATCTATTTTTACTTTACTCTCCTCTTAACGGAGAGCTTTTTTATTTTGATACTATAGAGTAATTTTCTAAAACGCTTCCAGTTTTATTTACATTTTGAAATTCAAATTGATTTCGATGTTAATAATTTATATTGTTGTGCCACAGTCTATTTTAACTGAATAAAAGGTTTTTTATATTATTATATGAATATTGTACACTGGCTTACAGCTGGTGTAACTATTTTGAAAATAGAAGATGCTTTACTTGTATTCAATAACTTTTTATTACTAAACTGCTATTTATTGCATTTCATTATATATCTGATAAATTGCTTGATCTTCAGCTTTAAAGTATACACTCATTTTTTATGAGAAACTGGCTATAAGAAACAAGTACTAGACAGTCAGAAAAATTAAGAAACTTCAGTACTCAAAGCAAAAAATTAAAGAACTATTAAATCGTGATAAAACTGAGAACAATGAAATTTTGTAAAAATCCAAGAACAAGATTGCCCTGTTGGCCTAGAACTTAAGACACAAGGGGTAAAAATATACTTCCCACATGTTAATACAGCATCAGAACAGAAGCAAATCTCTTGATGTGATAAAAACGATCACAAACATTTCATAACATCATGTTTAAGGAACTCTTAAGAAACCAAGAGTATTGAAATTTCCAGAACATTAAGAAACTGGAGTACTCGACCTTTGTTTCTTATAAACAAAATGAGTGTAGCATCCTCAAAGCATGAGTGTAAACATTTCTCTTTACAATTATTTAGCATACACATGCAACAGCCACTAAATTTGGCTTAGTTGGATGGGTGATGAATACAAAAAGGCATACTGTTGTTGGCTGCATGCAGGGGGATACAGATAGAACCACTGAAATGTAGGCTTGCTAAACAATTTATATATTTGTTAATTTTTTGCCAGTATTATATACCATTATTTTATTCAGTTGACTTTGTGACACATTCTAATTCAATGATAAGAAATTTTTAAATTTTTTGTGGTTAGAAATTACCTGTAATCAATTGCATTTTTTTGCTTCAATTAAATGTTTTCAGAGAACACTATGAAACACAATATTTTTAAGTGCCTCAGTATATAATTTTTTGTTAATATCATATTCCACAAAAATTTATTCTATTAGACCACAATGTAATTTCTTTATGATTTTTTAATCAATCATAGTTCCGCTAATTTAGAATTTGGAAATTTATTTGGCTCCATAAATTGCTGTTTGTGACAAAATTTTCATTTTCTATAATATTTGTGGCAATTTTTATGAACGGTTGATATTTGATTTAGTAGTTATAGTCATAAATATTTTCCCAAAAAAGTATAAAGGGACCTATCTTAATATAATTTAATATATATTGCTTTATATTTATTTAATCAATTTAAAGATATAAATTGCCTTTTGTAGGAAGACCTGGCTGCGGACAAAAGGAAGCCCACAATCACATATAACAGACTGTAAATTTTCCAATGAAAAAGTAATAGATAAGTTAGAGTTCAAAGAGTTTTTAATCAGGTGTGGAAAAGGAGATTGAGAATTTAATTCAATCATTCATGGCTGGTTCCTGGACTTTTCTGACTGTGTGTACTTTCTCTAATATTATCAATTTGTTCCCAATGGCATTGTTGCTTGACCAATGTAATAAGATTTTATGAACAATTATTTATGAATCTTAAAGATTATATTTAGCTAAAGTACCTGTACTGAGTTTTGGGGGAAAGGCAAGAAAAGTGGTAGAAGAGAAAGAAATGATTAAAGGCTATCATTGCTTAGGTAAATCTAATAGTACTTATGGGTAAGTGAATCTAATAGTAATAGTACGTAAGTAAATCTAATAGTACTTAGGGGGTGATACTTGATTGAAATCTGGTCAGTTATTGACATATTCTTGGATTCCTTATTTCTGTCTAGCCTAGGTGAAAGTAAAGATGCTAAGACTCACTGACTCAGCTCTTTGAATGTTAAGAGCACTGGTAGCATCGAAGGCTGTTTAAATTAGTTGGTAACAAAGTCTAATTTAATCCACACATCATTTGCAATTTCAATTATGGGTGCACAACCCAAAAATTGGGGGATAGGATAAAACAGCATGTTTTTTCCAACATAAGAAACAAAACTGCCCCTCAAAGAGAACAGCCTTCTCGATCTTGTAGGTCTAGAGTTTTTTCAAAATCTTTTGTTATGGGTGTTAAATTTTCCCTTGGTCCCCCCCCCTCACTTTTCAACCTTTGTCGGAGCCCATGTCATCATGTTTTTTGGGACCCTGATTCTGACGTTTTATGCTCTGAGGAGTGTCAGACAAAAAAGCTTTTAGTATGTTGTAAAATGTTTGCTTTTTTCAAAGCCATTTTCAAATTCTGTACCGCAAAAAAATTGTTCAAATTTCAATTACGTTTGATAGTGGGGGTAACAAAAAATCTCAGGGAGCTGCAAACCTTATATTTTCACCAAATGAGGCCACAAGATGGTTTCACACATTTTTAACCCTATAAATGAAAATTACAAATAATTGGGTGGTTTGCAGATGCCCCAGAGGGGTTGAATTCTGTCAAAAGTATAGGTCAGAAGTTCTGCGATTTGATGAAAAGGAACTAGCGAAGAAATGCGACAAAATTTTCAAGTAAAGGGTTTAGTCTAAACCTTTTTACTACATTTTTCATCCAATCCGCTGGCAGTTCTAATTTTACCTGATCGTACGATGTTTTTATGTTTTGCAATTTTTGTTTTCAAACAAAACAACTTGTTTTTCTTCTGTGTTGGAGTGAGGTCAAATCTGAAACCGAGGTTGAATAGGCCTACTACTTTTGTTGTTTGTAGTATTTAATGCTGGAGCTTGACGAAAAAGGATAGAAATGAGGTGTTTACAGGTAAAACAAAACGTCTGAAATAATACGCGTATGATATTTCTTGTTTTCATTGATAATTCTGCCGATCAAATGATATTTATGCGACATCTCAATGCAATCTGAACGTATGTAAGAAGATAGATGTACACTATATCTAATATTGTAGTACTATCATCATCACTATCAGTTTTGCCGAATAAACTTTCTTATTTACTTTAAAGTAGACCGTGCCAACAGAAAAACTAGTTGGTAGAATAATAATGTAGTGATTCAAAGATTTATTTTTCAATAAAGTATTCTCTGGGATGTCGTTTTCTACACAATGGGCATCAATTCTCGTGGGAATGATTGAAACTTTTCTCTTTTTAAGGTCACAGACTATGAAAATTCCTTGATAGACCAACTTAAGTCAGATGATGCCTCGTGTCAACTTGAAGCAATAAGGTATTTCATAAAATGGGATATTAATATTTGCATTTTTCTATAGAAATTTGAAGCCATGGAACGCTCATGCCAGACCAGATTTACACCAATAAACAATATAAATGATATGAGAAATTGATATCTTCGGCGTGAGCTACATGGATTTCACATGGTTTTTAACAAGAAATCTTACAAAGATACTTGTGTAATGTGCAAAATGTGGGGGACCTTGGCACCCAGATCTGGTGATAATGAAGACTACCTCAAAAAAGTTAGTCCTGCAAAGGGATGCAAGAATAACACAGGGGCAAGGGGCAGGCTTCTGTAAATGGGCATTTAAAAACTAATTCCCACAGCTTCTACCAATTCTTTCATAACAGTCCTTTTTTCTGTAGGAATTTTGAGAATAAAGAAAATTTTTCAAGTTTTGAGAAGAGTCATCATTAATAAGGCACTACAGTTATAGTTTCAAATGAATCTGTTTGATAATTACAAAAGGCTGATGTCAAGGGCACTTTGGCCCACCTTGCTCTTCTTATCAAAGGGAAACTGGGGCATTTGCCCCTCATATCAAAGGGCAAGAAGGGTGGCTGCCCCTATGTGTCCCCCTCTGTAGCACCACTGGCCATGCAATATTTTACTTGTGAGTCAAGGTTTAATTATTTGTTTAATCATTCTGTTTCTGAAGCCACTCTGCTCCTGCAAGTTGGGTGTTTACCCCTAAAGCAGCTTTTGCCCCCTTTTATCCCTATATTCAAATATCTTTAAACTGGTTTCTAAAAATTCCTTCTTGATATTTCTTTCTTTTTTAAAGGAACATAAAAAATGCTGTTATTGGGATTAAAAGTAAGAAATCAGCCTTCATTGCAAAGGGATTGATTCCGAGGCAAGTAGTTATGTTGATATTGACTTTTTCAATACCATTTCAGTTTTATTGTGAGCCAAACAACATAAGTAGAATATGACATTTATTGATTTCATGCTGAAAATCCACTTTTAATAGTTTGATGATATCAAAGATTTGAACAATTTCATGTTCTCTGGCACTGAAAATTTTTGCTAGCATTCAAACCTTGTGCGTAATATTCAATTTGAAATCATAATTTAGAATAATAGCTTGCACATTTTGGTAAAGTATCAATAATGGCTAGATGAAGACAAATATAAATCATGAATCTTTTGAACATGAGTAATGAATCAGCACTTTGTGAAGATAGTCTTGTGCAACTGCAGATTGGTTGGTTTGTTTCATGAAATTGACCCTGGATGTCATGCTGTAGTCGAGTGATTTGCAGAATTCTAGTGCACGTGGGACAGCCTCTCTTAGCATTTTCAACTTCTTACTTCAAGCTGACGAAGCATCAATCAAGGCTGAGCCAACTGCAACTAGAAAACGAAAAGTGTTTAAGAATATCATTTTTGTAAACTTGCCTCATTTCTTCAACCATTGATCTGTGCTTTTACCTGCTTAATTAATTGGTTCATAGGATGGCAATATTTTTGCTTTCCTCCCATTTTGAAACTTTGGAATGCAAAAAGGGTAAAATTTAATCCCTTTTTCATGTTTCTTATGTTGACATATTTTTAACTACAACAAGGCTTTTGATCCATAACCACTTAAGCTATTTGAAATATAATTTGGCATGTGTACAGGGGCACTGTGGCTTGGAGAGGGTAGGGGCCTATAGCCCCCCTAGAAAACCAGCTTACAGAAAGGTTTGGAAATTTTGCTACCTTATCAAAATTTTAAAGGAATTTTGCCTTTAGCCCTGCCCTAAAATTAAGCTCCCACTGTCTCCTTGCATTTGTAAGGCATCGTTACATCATAGGTTGCTTGAACTCATGGTCAGAAGCAATGCTGGCATTGAGTTTGCAGTTGAAGGAGCAGCCATTTTGGGGAGCTTTGCAAGAGGTCTTCTTCATTTGCATTTTGTTATGCAGATTTAATTAGGATTGAGATATATACTAAATTGTGTTTTGCAGTAAACATTTATATTTTGCTTTGAATCATGTATGAGTATAACACAACTTGGTTGTTTCAATTTCATTATTATTCTTACTGCTATTCAACAGTAATGACAGCTATTTTTCGATAAGATCTAAAGATTTACATCACAAAGCTAATGCTCCAAACAAAATCTAATGTGACACTGTGAGATTTGGCCATTGTGATGCTAAATCTGTTCCATGCTAACATTTAGCGGGATATGCTTTGTAACTCAGCCACCCTTTTGACAGATACTTGATATAGTGGTTGTGCTTTCCTTTATTTTCAATTTAATTTTGCTCACAGTTTTTGTGTAGACTCTTTCAGATAATATCCATTTGTTTTAAGTATTCCAGGTTTCAATGTTTTCTTCATCAGAGATTTTGTCATTCATGAAGAAAATTATTTATACTAGGCATTTGTCAAGACTACAAACCACTTGCAGTTTCCTGTCTGAGATCATTAAGGGCATATTTTGTGACAGGGGAAGTTCCACCTGATATTATTTATGAAGTAAGTATATTTTTGCTTTTTTGTTCTTGATATTGTATTGATTGTAGATATTTTATTGTTTTTTGTGCTACCAGCAGCAATGTATCAAAGTCCTTGTATATCCAAATGCAAACAAAATAATTTGTGAACCCTAATACTTTAACATTGATTAAAACAAACAAGTAAGAAATCAGTTGATGCAGAGAGTTAGCAGAAGGTCTTGTATGTCAAGTTGTTAAAGTACCTTTATTAACGAAGGCATGCTGTTTTAATGAATGCACAAGTTTTTGAGCTTTTCACATTTGAAAATCTAAGGACAGACCGAGCATAACCAACTGTCTTGGTAAAAATGTTCAGTTCAATTTATTATCTGTCTTATCCAGTTTCTTTTTTCTTTACTTTGGTCAATGCATAATATAGCTTGGGGGAGGAATAATCCTGAAAACCGTTAAGTAATAATATTCTTTGAAGCGTGCAAAAGGAAATCTTTCATAAAGTAAAGACTGTGTAACTCTGCTGGTATGACTTTTTTTGCTAAGAACCCGTTTTGATGTTTATAAAAATTTCCTTTGCAAAATTCCCTCTTTTAAAATTGATATCTGTGAGATAGTTTCTTACCTATTCTATTTTGTATTTTCCTGCCAGTTGTCACGAAGAAATAGCCTATGTATGTCATCATCTAGATCCCTTGCTGATTAGAGACACCAAGTTGTAGCAGTAAAGAGAAATTCTTTATAAATGATGCTAATAATATTTGTTGCCTAGGTCCCCTGATATGTCTGTCTCAAATCAAAAGCCTCTGATGTCAAATTATGCTTAATCCTTTTCACTCTTTGCTGTTTACTTCGATAGGGTCCATCCATCGTTAACAATCTGGTACAGTTTTTATCACAGTCACCAACAGAAGCAGAATGCGCTGGAAACATCTTGTTTAGATGTTGCAAGGTGGAAATTTACTATGTTGCCACTTTCGCACCACATATGTCTTATTTTCAATGTTTTTCTTGATAGTCCCACAATGCTTGATTTACTCTATAATGGCCTTCTGTCGTTAGCTTTGATTTCCTCAAAGAATTTTGTATTGTGCCACTGTCTTCTGTCTATTGTGAAAAAGATATTTTGTTTAATAAAACAGATTAAAAATTCAGATTGAAAAATCAGAAATTTTTCTCAAACCCCATGTTTTATATGTCAAAAGGCAGACTTTAAGCCAGTGTGGAATACTTGATGGAGGTGAAAGGAAGGTGGGTTGCTGACCTAAACAGTCATCAAGAACAAATTCTCAAAGACTTTTTTATGGAGAGGAATCTATTTGAATAGGTTCATTGGGTGTTCTTCCAAGAAATAGCCCATTAAACAAGTCCGTCTGAAAAATAAGGCAATATGTTAACCTGTCTTGTTATTTATTTGCAAGGCATAGATAGTTGAAATTCAATAAGCTGTTCTAGTCTGCGGATTCTGACGTGAGCCATTTTTCATCCAATCCGCTGGCAGTTCTAATTTTACCTGATCGTACGATGTTTTTATGTTTTGCAATTTTTGTTTTCAAACAAAACAACTTGTTTTTCTTCTGTGTTGGAGTGAGGTCAAATCTGAAACCGAGGTTGAATAGGCCTACTACTTTTGTTGTTTGTAGTATTTAATGCTGGAGCTTGACGAAAAAGGATAGAAATGAGGTGTTTACAGGTAAAACAAAACGTCTGAAATAATACGCGTATGATATTTCTTGTTTTCATTGATAATTCTGCCGATCAAATGATATTTATGCGACATCTCAATGCAATCTGAACGTATGTAAGAAGATAGATGTACACTATATATCTAATATTGTAGTACTATCATCATCACTATCAGTTTTGCCGAATAAACTTTCTTATTTACTTTAAAGTAGACCGTGCCAACAGAAAAACTAGTTGGTAGAATAATAATGTAGTGATTCAAAGATTTATTTTTCAATAAAGTATTCTCTGGGATGTCGTTTTCTACACAATGGGCATCAATTCTCGTGGGAATGATTGAAACTTTTCTCTTTTTAAGGTCACAGACTATGAAAATTCCTTGATAGACCAACTTAAGTCAGATGATGCCTCGTGTCAACTTGAAGCAATAAGGTATTTCATAAAATGGGATATTAATATTTGCATTTTTCTATAGAAATTTGAAGCCATGGAACGCTCATGCCAGACCAGATTTACACCAATAAACAATATAAATGATATGAGAAATTGATATCTTCGGCGTGAGCTACATGGATTTCACATGGTTTTTAACAAGAAATCTTACAAAGATACTTGTGTAATGTGCAAAATGTGGGGGACCTTGGCACCCAGATCTGGTGATAATGAAGACTACCTCAAAAAAGTTAGTCCTGCAAAGGGATGCAAGAATAACACAGGGGCAAGGGGCAGGCTTCTGTAAATGGGCATTTAAAAACTAATTCCCACAGCTTCTACCAATTCTTTCATAACAGTCCTTTTTTCTGTAGGAATTTTGAGAATAAAGAAAATTTTTCAAGTTTTGAGAAGAGTCATCATTAATAAGGCACTACAGTTATAGTTTCAAATGAATCTGTTTGATAATTACAAAAGGCTGATGTCAAGGGCACTTTGGCCCACCTTGCTCTTCTTATCAAAGGGAAACTGGGGCATTTGCCCCTCATATCAAAGGGCAAGAAGGGTGGCTGCCCCTATGTGTCCCCCTCTGTAGCACCACTGGCCATGCAATATTTTACTTGTGAGTCAAGGTTTAATTATTTGTTTAATCATTCTGTTTCTGAAGCCACTCTGCTCCTGCAAGTTGGGTGTTTACCCCTAAAGCAGCTTTTGCCCCCTTTTATCCCTATATTCAAATATCTTTAAACTGGTTTCTAAAAATTCCTTCTTGATATTTCTTTCTTTTTTAAAGGAACATAAAAAATGCTGTTATTGGGATTAAAAGTAAGAAATCAGCCTTCATTGCAAAGGGATTGATTCCGAGGCAAGTAGTTATGTTGATATTGACTTTTTCAATACCATTTCAGTTTTATTGTGAGCCAAACAACATAAGTAGAATATGACATTTATTGATTTCATGCTGAAAATCCACTTTTAATAGTTTGATGATATCAAAGATTTGAACAATTTCATGTTCTCTGGCACTGAAAATTTTTGCTAGCATTCAAACCTTGTGCGTAATATTCAATTTGAAATCATAATTTAGAATAATAGCTTGCACATTTTGGTAAAGTATCAATAATGGCTAGATGAAGACAAATATAAATCATGAATCTTTTGAACATGAGTAATGAATCAGCACTTTGTGAAGATAGTCTTGTGCAACTGCAGATTGGTTGGTTTGTTTCATGAAATTGACCCTGGATGTCATGCTGTAGTCGAGTGATTTGCAGAATTCTAGTGCACGTGGGACAGCCTCTCTTAGCATTTTCAACTTCTTACTTCAAGCTGACGAAGCATCAATCAAGGCTGAGCCAACTGCAACTAGAAAACGAAAAGTGTTTAAGAATATCATTTTTGTAAACTTGCCTCATTTCTTCAACCATTGATCTGTGCTTTTACCTGCTTAATTAATTGGTTCATAGGATGGCAATATTTTTGCTTTCCTCCCATTTTGAAACTTTGGAATGCAAAAAGGGTAAAATTTAATCCCTTTTTCATGTTTCTTATGTTGACATATTTTTAACTACAACAAGGCTTTTGATCCATAACCACTTAAGCTATTTGAAATATAATTTGGCATGTGTACAGGGGCACTGTGGCTTGGAGAGGGTAGGGGCCTATAGCCCCCCTAGAAAACCAGCTTACAGAAAGGTTTGGAAATTTTGCTACCTTATCAAAATTTTAAAGGAATTTTGCCTTTAGCCCTGCCCTAAAATTAAGCTCCCACTGTCTCCTTGCATTTGTAAGGCATCGTTACATCATAGGTTGCTTGAACTCATGGTCAGAAGCAATGCTGGCATTGAGTTTGCAGTTGAAGGAGCAGCCATTTTGGGGAGCTTTGCAAGAGGTCTTCTTCATTTGCATTTTGTTATGCAGATTTAATTAGGATTGAGATATATACTAAATTGTGTTTTGCAGTAAACATTTATATTTTGCTTTGAATCATGTATGAGTATAACACAACTTGGTTGTTTCAATTTCATTATTATTCTTACTGCTATTCAACAGTAATGACAGCTATTTTTCGATAAGATCTAAAGATTTACATCACAAAGCTAATGCTCCAAACAAAATCTAATGTGACACTGTGAGATTTGGCCATTGTGATGCTAAATCTGTTCCATGCTAACATTTAGCGGGATATGCTTTGTAACTCAGCCACCCTTTTGACAGATACTTGATATAGTGGTTGTGCTTTCCTTTATTTTCAATTTAATTTTGCTTCATAAAGATATAAATCTCAGATGCCTGACAAACATTCTTCTTTCTGATAGAAATTATGCACTCAAACAAATTTGTTTCTGTGAGATTTTATGTTCTCATATTCCGCACACTATTTAATTTAGCACATTTATTAATGAACAGGGACACAGAATGATTTAAGAGTGATGCTTGATACCCAAGCCATTCCAATACTTTGCCGAGGTAGTATACGAATTCTAGTATGTTAAACTTGATTATTAATATCCTATACTTTATTACTTTATGTTAAAAAAATTTTGTATCCTGCCTAAGTTTTGATATGCGTTCTCAAAGTCAGCATGATTTTAGATACTAGATTCATTTAAGCTTTCATTAGACTATTCCAGTGATTCAGCTTTCTAATAAAGCCAATGTTACCTAGCATCACTGTTTTTACCAATTATTTAAAAATCAAATCATGTGTTGTTATCTTATTTACTTGTTTTAATCTTAATATGATCTGAATCAACTCACAGTTTTTGTGTAGACTCTTTCAGATAATATCCATTTGTTTTAAGTATTCCAGGTTTCAATGTTTTCTTCATCAGAGATTTTGTCATTCATGAAGAAAATTATTTATACTAGGCATTTGTCAAGACTACAAACCACTTGCAGTTTCCTGTCTGAGATCATTAAGGGCATATTTTGTGACAGGGGAAGTTCCACCTGATATTATTTATGAAGTAAGTATATTTTTGCTTTTTTGTTCTTGATATTGTATTGATTGTAGATATTTTATTGTTTTTTGTGCTACCAGCAGCAATGTATCAAAGTCCTTGTATATCCAAATGCAAACAAAATAATTTGTGAACCCTAATACTTTAACATTGATTAAAACAAACAAGTAAGAAATCAGTTGATGCAGAGAGTTAGCAGAAGGTCTTGTATGTCAAGTTGTTAAAGTACCTTTATTAACGAAGGCATGCTGTTTTAATGAATGCACAAGTTTTTGAGCTTTTCACATTTGAAAATCTAAGGACAGACCGAGCATAACCAACTGTCTTGGTAAAAATGTTCAGTTCAATTTATTATCTGTCTTATCCAGTTTCTTTTTTCTTTACTTTGGTCAATGCATAATATAGCTTGGGGGAGGAATAATCCTGAAAACCGTTGAGTAATAATATTCTTTGAAGCGTACAAAAGGAAATCTTTCATAAAGTAAAGACTGTGTAACTCTGCTGGTATGACTTTTTTTGCTAAGAACCCGTTTTGATGTTTATAAAAATTTCCTTTGCAAAATTCCCTCTTTTAAAATTGATATCTGTGAGATAGTTTCTTACCTATTCTATTTTGTATTTTCCTGCCAGTTGTCACGAAGAAATAGCCTATGTATGTCATCATCTAGATCCCTTGCTGATTAGAGACACCAAGTTGTAGCAGTAAAGAGAAATTCTTTATAAATGATGCTAATAATATTTGTTGCCTAGGTCCCCTGATATGTCTGTCTCAAATCAAAAGCCTCTGATGTCAAATTATGCTTAATCCTTTTCACTCTTTGCTGTTTACTTCGATAGGGTCCATCCATCGTTAACAATCTGGTACAGTTTTTATCACAGTCACCAACAGAAGCAGAATGCGCTGGAAACATCTTGTTTAGATGTTGCAAGGTGGAAATTTACTATGTTGCCACTTTCGCACCACATATGTCTTATTTTCAATGTTTTTCTTGATAGTCCCACAATGCTTGATTTACTCTATAATGGCCTTCTGTCGTTAGCTTTGATTTCCTCAAAGAATTTTGTTTTGTGCCACTGTCTTCTGTCTATTGTGAAAAAGATATTTTGTTTAATAAAACAGATTAAAAATTCAGATTGAAAAATCAGAAATTTTTCTCAAACCCCATGTTTTATATGTCAAAAGGCAGACTTTAAGCCAGTGTGGAATACTTGATGGAGGTGAAAGGAAGGTGGGTTGCTGACCTAAACAGTCATCAAGAACAAATTCTCAAAGACTTTTTTATGGAGAGGAATCTATTTGAATAGGTTCATTGGGTATTCTTCCAAGAAATAGCCCATTAAACAAGTCCGTCTGAAAAATAAGGCAATATGTTAACCTGTCTTGTTATTTATTTGCAAGACATAGATAGTTGAAATTCAATAAGCTGTTCTAGTCTGCGGATTCTGACGTGAGCCTTGTCCTTCGTAGACGACCGAGCATCAAACGATGTTATCCGAAGCTGGAATAATACCTGCGCTGGCCCCATGGCTGAAATTCGAGAAACCTGCAGTCATTCTGCCGATTCTTTGTTGCTTTTCATCCTTAGTTCTGGACAATGAAGTCTTAGCAACAAGAGTCAGTGAAAGTAAGTAAGTTATGTATATTAGGTAAGTGTATTTGATACGATATAAGCGAACCAAAGGGGACATAAGTACTCAACTGTGCCAATTTCTGAAACATCCCACCACAAACGTTAAATGATGGCTCTTTAGCCAGTTGATGAGTCAGATATTTATGATTGTCAAGAAATTTAATTTGGTATAGTTCCGGGCTCAAGAGGCTGAAGGAGACACATTGGCTAAAAGCCCCGAAGGTATCAGAGCTTCCAATTTTTTATTTGTAAGCACCGAAACCTGCGTATCTTGACCCTGCTTTTTTGCAGTAAAGCGAGCATACCTCTGGCACTAAAGTTTTATGAATGACATTGGAAAACAGTCCCATTTTCTATCAAGAAGTAAATCTATTGGAGACTTGTTTTGTATTCCTATCCATTTAGTCAACTTAATTTTTCTGCTTGCTCGCACATTGCTAACCTGTGCTCCAGACTTTCAAGTTAGGGGTCTGGGGCACAGGCTAACACATTGATAATACTAAAGTGTAATCTACTCTGCAGATTCTTGCCCTAGCTGAAAATTTATTGATGCCTTAACAAATTTCTTTACAATGATAACTTAGGAATTTACTGGTTTTGAATTCTTGTAACATTGCATTCTCTGCTTTTCATGTGTCCAAATTTATATCGCAAACTTATTTATGTTTCATTGCAACGTGTTTTATTGTATCGAAGAAAGAATATTGTTTTCCATTTTTTAGCTTGTTTAGAGCAGGCAAAAGTAAAAGACTTGCTTATCAATTTGCTATCAAGAGATAAGGCAGACGAGATCCAGTTAGCTGCTGCAAAATGGTTAGTTTTAAACAAAGGTATTTTTTTTTGCTTCACAAGACCTCCAGTTTGGCTTAAGCGAATATGCAATGTAGTATTGCGCTGAAAAAAGCTGGACAATAACCAAAATCTTTGCATCTTGTTTGATTAGTTCTAGGTTAGGCCATGTTTCTTGATATTTCAGATATTTTACTTAGCTGGTTGAAGAAAAGCTATTGACTTGATTATATAAAAATGGGGTCGGTAATTGTAAGTACAAAAGCCACGTGAGTATGTGTAGCTTTAGAAAATGAAGCTTTCTGACTTATAGGAAATTACTTCGTGTAAATATTTCATCTCATCGTCTCGTATAACATTCACCCTTATCACGAATGACTGGAAAAAGTTATACTGTTGGCTGTTGTTTTTCTTCTTCACCGCTTTCGATATCCCAAAATGTTAATGAAGTTTTTACCACCTTTTTTATGGAATAATCTTTAATGTCATTAAAAATATGATGAAGCTGCTTATCTCAATTTTGCAGCTTGGCAAATTTCTATCGAGCCGGATCCTTACATGTCACAGATGAGGTCATCCATTCGAAGGTTTGTATTCAGAATTTTGGACAACTGATTGAATCGGAATATTTTGCAATTTTAATGTATTACAGAAAAGGTGAGCCATCAAAGACTTTAAATGTGTATGTGTAATTTACATAGGATTTTTTGATGGAGCTAGTTTCAGGGGCGTAATGGGATTTGATTTTCTTTTTTTTGAGAGGGGGGCCTAATATTAGGAACTCCCGGAAAAATTTCTGTCCCTTTTCCTGTCCCTTTTCCTGTAAATTTTGTATAAGAAAGCTGAAGTAGGTGTTTATGGGAAAAATCTTCATTTCCGTCTTTTCAAATACTTGATGTTTATTTTTGTAATATTTGTTGTGATTAACTTAAAAGTCATAAAAGCTATTTTTGTGCTATTATATGCTCATTTTTCTAAAGCTGAAAACTAGTCGGCGGAAAACTAGATTTTATGCGAGCAATACACTTAAGCCTTATTTTGAGAGCTAATTTGTTCCCCTGGTTTGCTGGTTCTCAAGATCTGATTGGATAGAAAATCATTTCTAAATAATGTACAGAAAATGAACTTTTAAGTGGCAAGAATTGATGAGCAAACACGCATAAATCAGAGATAGATGTGAGAGATGACATTTCTATTTCCCTTTCCAATTCTGTTTTTATAACAATTTCATCGATCATAGCGCTTTTTTATTTCAAAATTTAACTGCTAATCATTTTTATTTCTTACTATCATGAAGGTATTCAGCGCTTTTTTGCAGGTCTTATCGACATTTGTACGAATGTGTGCCAAAAACAAACCCAACAGTATTCGTGTTCCTGCATCTCAAGCTCTCGGTACTTTGTTGACTTCTTTTCATTCCTTTTCCTTTCATATCTGCTTGTCCTCCTTTGTTAGCAGTTGGTTACTTTTATGGTAGTTTCGATTGGCGAGTGTTTCAAAATACTTAGCTGAGATATTTGTTAAGATTAGATACTTAGAACAAACCTAATACACTTTATAGCCTTAGAATAAGTCCATGCTTTGTCTTTTGCTTTCGAGTCTACAATGAAAGTTTTTATAGTCGAATGTAAACTTTTATAGTTTGTTTTTAATGGAGACAAACGTTACTATCAAAGCCCGAATCCAACAAAGCCTACTGACATAAATCTATTCTAAGTTAGCTGCATTCAAATACCTTCTTTTGTCGTTAATTTTTCCAACCAACAATCCTTTTCACCATGCCAGTGTTTTGCAGCCTTTGAGGTGATAACTAACTGATTTTCGCAAACTGACCAGAAATATGTTTATTATATGTTTAACAGTGTTGTTGACTTCAAATATTTCCCCTATTGATTAACAATAACTATTAAGCGACTAACATTTTTGTCAATTTTTGCTGTTCCAGCTATTGATCATTATTATGCAGAGAACCCGATGAACAGCCAAACTCGCGCTCTTTCTTTTACGAGAATGAGTGTCACCCATGGAAACATCCGTTCGAAATGATTTTCCAGTATTCCTCGTTCTTGCGTTGCTAGTTTTTTTGTATTTGCTGCTTCAAACCGTGTTAATAGAAATGAATTTTCCTTTAATCTGGCTTTTAGCATTCCTAATCGAAGAGGATAGTGATCTACAACAGCTGGCTTCGATATCAAACCATCTTATCCAAAATATTGCAAGCTTTCTGAACACCGAAGAAGATCTGGATGAAATGACAGATCAGGGATTAAAAGAGGTTTTTTAATGTATTTTGATTCCAGGAATCAATCTTATCATGCATTGTGCTTCATGTTCATTATTGACAGTTTGATACGCCTTATCTTGTGAAAAGGACTTTTCCCTTTGACGAAAACGAATATTGAAATCTGATATTATTTAAGATTGTGGCAGAAATGTAACCTTAACAATTAGGTCGTTTTTATTTTGAACATTTTGAGCTAAGCTGGGAGAAGGGGTCACATAAACGCCCATAATACATCATTTCAAATGGCCTTGATAAATCACAATTTTGTTAAACAAACCTAGCAAAATTACATTTTTTTGTTTGGTAAAAATCTCGCAATATGCTAATTTCTTTGCAATTATCGTTTCATTAGTTAGATAAATGTGGTATTCTTGCCAAAAATTCGTGGTTAATGACAAAAGCTTGAATTGGTAGTCTGGTAATTGATGAAAGTTCTTGCTCAAATATTTTTTAGGGTGCATTTAAAGTCTTTGCTGCATTGGCTGCTAATGATGAAAAAATAAGAAAGAGGGTTTGTAATCTTATTCACAGCATTCTAGCACATTTTGGTTATATTTCTATGGCTTCATGATAAGAGGAATAGACAGGAATCAGTGAAAACTGAACCAATTTTTGTTAGTTTCTTTTTAGGCGAACATATAAAGAACCTCCGTTTTTAATGCCAAGTATATCATTTTAGCAAAACAATTTTTTTGGTGATGATTGAAAGTAGTCAATTTCTTTATGAGAGGATTTTGAATAACTGTTCTTCAGATGCAATTGAAGAAATTTCATGGTTTTAAAATCATATATTTAAAAAGTCGTTGCAAGATTTTGATCTGGTCCAAACATCTACATTTGATTTTACAGGTTGTTGATGCCACGGACAAACTAAATCCTGCTTTGAATTCTGCATTGCAAAGTGAATGCAATGTGCTGCAAACTGCCGCATTGCAATGCCTCTTAAGTCTGTCTCGCTCTGTTCAACAACTGCGATCAACATTCAAAGATCAGTCGATTTGGCAGCGAATCCTGGATATCTTACAGACGAGTCACTGTGAAGACCTGCTCAGCACGGCATCCTCTGTTCTCTGTAACCTGCTGCTTGACTTTTCCCCTTGCAAAGATGTATGTTTTATAATTACCCTATAATCATGTTAAAGTACTGTAAATCTTTAAGGAGCAGCAAAAAGTGGAGATATTTGGCATGCACATTCAAGAAATGGTTTTTATATCAATAACCTTCAATTTGGTGCAGAAAGTTAAAATTTTGCATCAGATTCTAATATCTGTACTTTTAAAATGCCTGGGCCCAAATATTGACCTGAGCTGGGGGGGGGAGGGGGGCTGTGAAAAGGATTGTAACTAGGAGAGACATGAGAAATGAAGCAAGTGAGTGTTACAATGAAGAGGCGAGTAGTAGCAACGAAATTGTTATTTTCACAGGAGATGTTGGGCTTGTTCTTGTTGTAAATTTATTTTAATTCGATATAAAAACAATAGCTTACAATATATACATAAATATACAATGTTAACAAATCAAAATCGAACATAACTACCAATTAGTACATTAAAGTAATTTTAGATACCTGCAGTTAATAAAGTTTAACTCACATTTACTGGCAGAAGCTGACAGGCGCTACATTTGCAATTCGCTCCGTCCCATTGTTTTATTAGATTCTTAAAACTGTTCAAATTTTCTGCGGATTCCAGATCGTTGGGCTTGACTTTTTGTTTTTGTTTTGCAGCTGATGCTGGACAAAGGCGTACTGGACATTCTTGCAGCATTAACGAAAAGACCAGAGGCTCCTTTAAGATTAAACGGAGCTTGGGGCTTGATGGTAGGTTTCTCTAGAAGAAAGTCCCAAATTGTTGTAACATGAAAATTACTTTGTTTTAACGTTTATTACTTCATATTGTTGTTAACAGCAAGCATGTTTGGTAAATTTTTTAATGCTTAAGAAAGCATTAAAGACAGTGGCCTCTGCCAATGACTCTACTCATCTATGGTGGCTTACTCGAAATACACGCAACTTGAGCTAGTTAAAATTTATAATTATACATCACTTTCTAGATGATGTGTAAATTCAGAAATAATCGTGTAAGCTACTCTGAATTAAAATATATTCCCATGAATTACTGAGATTTGAGATAAAAAGACATAATGTAATTTTGAATTCAGCTCATATCTCATTATATAAAATACTCTTGTCACTGCACTTAATTCAAAATCCTGATTTGACGACACAATCTTTACAAGGCTGACCAAAGGCAGCTTTCCTATTGCTTTTTAGACATATGTAAGAGACATTTGGGTCATGAATGTCATTAGAAATGTGCATGAACCCCAGTTCCAAAATATAGTCTTTGAAAATACAGCTATGTTCACTTGTAAACTTTTGAGACATTTTTTTACTTCAAATTTTAATGTTTATTATTCCACCTTGCAGAATCTCTCCTATGATGCTGACGAGAACGTCAAAGCCCGAATCATAAAGGAGGTTACATTGCGTCATCTCATCCAGTAAGTTGTTTTTGCTTTTTTGCCATGCTAAGTTTTGTTGATGTACACGTTTTTCTTCCAAAAAAGTTTGCTGCCAGACTTGAGGATGTAACCACCCAACCACTATGCTTATTGTCAAATGAGGATATGATTTACTTGTTTTATGACGATCAGACAGATCTTTGTCCGGTTTTAAACCCAGAATGTCTTGCCCTTTGTCATTTTCAAACTTACCTGAAGACTTCATCGTTTTATTATCCAAATGAAAATGTAATGAGCACTTCTATTTTTGACATTTGTTAAGTTCTCAAAATCTCAATTCAAAATCTCAACTATCAAGGATGAGAATAATTCTTTCTGACGCTTTATTGTTCAATCTAGCAAAGGACAGAAAATTGACTTTCTGCTAATATTGTTTCGTTTTTCAGTCTCCTTGAAGATCCGGATATTCACGTGACCGTAAAAGTCCTTGGCCTCCTGCGAAACATTTTATCTGGAAAAGAGGTTAGTTTATAAGTGATACATACTCACATGGCTTTTCTTACCATACCCCTTCTTAAGGTATCCTGAGGTACGTTTTGTTAAATTCATTGACGATGTTTCCCTTAAAAACTGGTTGCACGCCGGTTTTATTTCATTGCACGCCGGTCGTGCAACTAAAAACCATCAATTTAAATGGAATCTCTTTTTCAGCAAGGTTAAGTCATTAAAAATGTATTTTTTAGAGATTTTTACATTTAGCCACTTAGCTTAAAAGAATACCTTGAAATACCTCTATATATGAACATTCAGTTTGGGTAAATATGAATAAATATGTTCAGCATTGAGTGAGATAAAGTCAATGGAAAATTTTGCTAACGGATTACTGTAACTATCGCTTTGCTCATAAAGTTATAAACAGAGGCCAAATTACTGTGATATGGTGGAAAGTCAAAGAGCTGCTTACTCTAATACCAACAAGACGGATTTAGGCCACTTGACATAATGTTTTCCAGGGAGTCGATGAAGCAATTGAAGATGGCTGTCCTCAAGTCATCGCAGCTGTTAGAATGGTGGTTAGAAATGATGGTATTGCAAATGATATCAAGGATCAAGTAAATCTTTCTCGTTTGTTACAAACTTCACTAGCTTTGCAACTTCTTCTGGATTTAAGTGTATTGAAAATTGTAATTGTTCTAACGTAACTTAAGTGCAATACATAAAGAAATACGGTCATTGCAGCATTCAAACCCAATATCTTCGTTTTTACTATTAATTATTATGTCACATTACAATTTTTGGAAGGATATGGTTAGGTTTGGAAGAAAATTCTTTTGGAAGGAATTGCTTGTCAAAATTTGATGAAAAATTGTCCACCAACCTTAGAGATACGTAGCCTAGAGCTCTGTATTCATTTGCAAATAATGGTCTGTTGTAAATTGATGCTTTAATACTTTCTTTTTGTCATCAAAATAATGTGAAATCGCACTTGTCCCGCCGATCTTATAACTGCCATTTTTTGTTTCTCTTTAGGCCCTTTGTGTGCTTTGCAATGTGGTGAACAGCAAAACTGGTAAAGACCATATAATGAATGACGAAGAGCTTCTGCGCAAATTGATTTGCTGTCTCTCAAATGATAACCAAAGAATTAAACTTGCCTCTGTTTCGTGTATACTTAATTTGTCATGTAACAGTGAGGAAGGCGCGCTTGAGAGGCAAACGAAATTGAGAGATCTTGGAGCCCAGAAGCAATTGCAAGCCTTGCTTACCACGCCAAATATTAATTTGTTTGACAAGTGAGTTCATTATTGTACTATGTTGGTGCTCTGTAATGCAAATTGCCTGGATTTTCTTTTCTTTCGCGTTTCTCAGATATCTTTGAGCTCTTTGAACGTATTTGCGACCTCTAAAAATATTATGATTTAATTTCTAAGAGAAAATGAACCGTATTTCAAATTTCTTATATATGTTGTCCAAGTTGACACTCGGATGATTTTCTGATTTGTTTTGACGTGGTCTTAGATATTAGTAATCCTGCTTAGCTGCATTTTTGAGGGTTCAGTTAATAAAACACAGTCGTTTTTGATAAAGCAACATTATGTTTTAACGAAATCTTTCTAGGTTTCTTACAGTGAAAATGTCCTCTATTCCTTTTCATATTTTACACATAGAATGCTCATTCTACTGATGGCCTTGCCTTCTCACCCTATGAACGTGTTTAAACCCAATTTGAACTTTGCTTTACACATTTGTTGTTATTTTTTTTAATATTCTGCATTATACTTTATACAGAGTCAAAGTAGCGCTCCAGCAATTCTCGTGACAGCTTCGTGACCTACTCTGCACAATTTCGAAAGGCTTTGACTGAAAAGTGGAAAATGGACGGCTATCGCCTTAATGTTTTGCTATAGTCCACATTCTTCTTAGCAAAAGACTTTCTTAGCTATTTTGCACCTTTATTTATCTCATTTCGTAGCAAATATGTGAATATTGTCTATACAGTTTAGATATGGATTTTATCTTTGTAGTACCAAACATTGAGTATGTCGAAAAGAAATAGAGCTAATATTCATTGGATAGGGTTTTGTTTGTCTTTTATCTTCTTTAAACATCGGAACAAAAAAGCGTAGAAGTTTTGGTAGGTAAAATCATTGAAGCCATAAACATGCTTTCGAATCCATTTGCGGAATTCGTTGTCTCCATTACCGTAAGCAGACATCGTTATAGCAGGCACCACGGAGAAGGGAGTGGGGGGCTGGGAGGGCTATAGCCCCCCACTTTTGCCAAAAATGCAAAAAATTACCAGTCAAGCCAAATTTTATTCAGTTTAAGCTCCCCCACTTTTTTAACGCTCCGCGGTGCCTGTTTACAGTTACTTGAGACAAGCATTCAAGGGGAAATACACTTTTAATCCTTGCCAAAACATTTGAGAAATTTCCCTAAACTTTTCATGCAGCCCCCTTTTCCTCGAAACAATGTAGACTCTTTTTTGTTAATGCTGTACAAACATGCGTGTTGTGGTACCAAGTTGTGTTGCAATAAAATGAAAATGGAACTTTGCAAATCAGCATTGTGTAGGGGATGAGGGGGAGGTGTGCAGTGTTAGATGTTGGCTTGTCTGGAGTGGTAGAAAGGGCGCTGTATTGCATTTTCCAAGAGGTTTTTACTAGGATTTTTAAATGATGCAATTAATCACATCAGCTGATATATTACTCAAAATACTTGAAACACCAAGCCACTGGCGTTGAATTTTTATATTTTTCATTTCTTTTCCAAATGATACTACTTTCGTTCCGAAAGTACTTACTACTTCCGAAAAATACGTACTTTCTGGTCTTTTATGTTTTGTATAGTCAACCTCGGATTGGCTTTGCAAATCCCCTTCTCCTCCTAGGAATAATGTTGACTTTGCAAACTGACAATAATGTTCTAAGACTCTTGGCAGAGATTGTATATCCAATCTATGAGACAAATTGACTGAAAGTCAAACTCGAAGATTCATTTTTTAACGTTCTTTGTCTATGTGGGGAGAAAATGTTCACGACCGAAAGGAACATATTGAATTCGGATGTTCGTACCACATCCCCAATAATAAGAGGAAAACTAGCAAGATAAATGGCTGAAAGTTAGTATTTTTGACATTCCTTAATTTAGCTTTAAATAGCTTTGCATTAGTGTAAACCATAATCAATAGAAAAACTACAGTCAATAGAAAAGCCATTGTACATGTTTTCCTACTGACTTTGTGTAAAGTAAGAAGGTTAGAAATTTAGAAAACTTCAGTTTTGGTTCTGGGGCCTGGGTCGAGTAAAACTTAATTTTATTTCATAGTTCCAAGAGTCAACTGTCTCAATCTTTATTAATTAACTTTTTCATTTAAGCTAATAATTGTGCAATCGGAACTAAACTCAGGTTGGATAGCTGAACTGAAAGAAGAGTGAGACGTGTTGCTACCTCTTCGATGCATTCTTGCAGACGAATAAAAACATAGTTTTGAAATTATTATAGAAGACTACAGCTTGTTTAGTACAAAATTTATAAATCTTTAGCTTAACGATGAGGGAGCCATAAAACTTCTTTGTTGTCAGTGATAGGTCTCTGCTTAACAAGAAAGTATGATTCACAAAAGCATTTACCAATGAGTTAATACTAAGAATGAAATTCAAAATAAGCCAAAAGATATGATTATTTGGTTGTTAATATGAAGGGACCCAGTAACGTAGACTATTATAACTTTGATGTTTTGGTAAATGCGGCTATGAAATTGCTCTAGGTTGTAATGGCTCAAACGGGATGTAAACCATCAGCTGTAACTGTAAGGGGCGACGGCTGCCTTTTTCATTGATTGTCAAAATGAAAGCAGACACTAGCAGCAAACACTAAAGCAGCAGGGAGTGTTGAATGCGACTTTTAACAACAAGATGGTAGATGCTTATTAATAATTCATGCTTAGCTCGCTTTCTTTCTTGACTGTTCATACAGAAACACAATTTTGTTTACTTATGATGCCTGGCGCGTAAACAGGTGCATGCTGGGAATTGTCTTTCCACACGTGCGCAGAAGTGCCCCTTTTCTCTCTTGGCCTAATTTCGACCTTTTCCTTTTAGTGGATTGGAGCCTTGGCCAATTTACACGGCATAACTAGCTAAGTTTTAGGATAATCATGGCTGATTTGAAGGATTTAGATAATCAAGAAGAAGAAGAACCGACAATCGCTGAGGATGTCGTTGTTACCAAATACAAAATGGCTGGTGATATGGCCAACAGTATGTTCCACAATTTTTTTAGCGCTTGATCTTTCTTTTGCTGCAATAGAATGCTCGAAGATATATATGCAGGACTGCCTTGTTTCACGGCAGTAGCTACTTTATGGAATAATATCAAGCTTTTCACGACAGTTAACAGTTTATTTTCCTTTTGATCGCATGTCTTCGATGCTGTTAGAGTACGAGAACTTATGTGGAAATTATTTCGTATTACACTCTTTTTTTATAAGAACAATTTTATAAGAACACGGGCCTCAAAACTGGTCAAAAGTTAAGAACAAATTGAGAACAAGCTGAGGCTGAGCTTCTGCAAAATGCAATTTTGAACAACGTTTTTTTTAAATCGAGGATTTTTAGCGATGTGTGGGTGCTTTTTCGGTGAATATTCAAATTTGTCAGCAAATTAAGGCTGTCTCACTCACTTTTTTGCAAATGAGGACTGAACACCTCCTTAGAGCGAAAAATCTAGCCATAGCACTGCTCACAACCTATTAGATTAAGAACAAATTAAGAACAATCCAGCCTCAGATTTTCGAAAAAATTAAGAACAGTCAGCCTGAACTTAAATTTACTGGTTCTTATAAAAAAAGAGTGTATCCAAGTACAGACCTACCCTTTTGTTACATGATAGAATTTATAGTAGCATGATATTTTGGATGCAAGACTGTCATACAGCAGTATGTAAATATATGGTGTAAGTTAATCAAAGACATCCAACCTTGTGCATTTATAATACCAACAAGAACACAGAGCCTTAGTCTTAATCTTATGGACCTGCCTCTTTTTTCGAATTCTTTTTTTTTATATAAAGCTCAAGCAAGACAATACTCACTTGCCCACGTAAATCAAGCATTAGTTTTGATATTCACAACACATTTTAATTTATAATCTGATGATAAATACGCATTTTTAGAAGCAAGCAGTTTACAATCAATAAGGCCAAACTTCTTTAAATTTTAGGCAACTTCTTGCAAAGGTTTCTATTTTTGCAATTTTTGTTGGCAAATGCTGAGTCTAAATGCTTTATTTGCTAGCTATTGACACAGTTTGTTTAATAGACCAGCATGTGAAAGACAGGTCTATCTTCAGTCGTCATGTTTACACCTTTCACACACCTGTCAACCTAATTTTTCCAAAACTTTGAGATTTAAGATTTTATAGTATGAAAAACAGGAAAATTTGCCCAAAACAGGAAGGATACTAGAATTTACTGGGTTATATAAACAACATACCAATGAAATATTGTGCTTGGCAAACTGTTAACAATAAGAATTATACTGAAAATATTATTTTTAATAATTTTTAATGTTCTTGTTAATTCTCAAGCACTAACAAAAATTGTGTTATGAAGAAAGCCACTGCAATCATTTTTGTTATAAGAATACCTCTATGTGTGAGGATAGCCCAGTAGCTAGTGGCATTGACTACAGACCAAAGAATACTTCTGCTAAAGAAGGGGAAACTGGAAGAAAATTTTAAAAAGCTTGGAGACTCAAGGAAGCAAAACTTGGATTCTCCAGATGAAACAAGGAGAGTTTAATTTACATGATACAAATCATGACCCATGCCCATAGTAACTTTCTTCAACCTGATTTACTAATAGTTTTAAGTGACTTTTGGATACTAAAGCTTGACCTTAATATCTTAAAAAGACTATAGCTTGTGTAAAAGAATACTCTCAACTCCAAAACTCCATTTAATATTTCTTTTCTTTCTGGTTTTAGAGGTATTGAAAATGGTGATTGAAGCCTGTAAAGATGGTGCCAGTGCAAGATCCATTTGTGAGATAGGTGATAAAATGATTCTAGAAGAAACAAGTAAGGTGTACAAGAAGGAAAAGGAAATGAAAAAAGGTAACAAAGTAGTTTCAAAATGAATGAGTTCTACTTTATTGTTCTGGTTTTTTTCTTTTTATCCTGGAATTTGTCAGTTTCTATCAAGTTTTTCATTAGATCTGTATCAGGTAGAATGATACCATAGTTTGGTAACATATGTTCAAATGTTTATCAAAACTTGTGCAAGATGGCTACAGCTTTTATCCTAAAACAGAGAGGGGGCAAAATAATACATATTTGCTAGAAAATTGCTTATTTTTTACCTATTTATATGTAACTATAAATATATAGAGATACAGAGCAGAGGGATGATCTAATGGAAAACTTAAGAAGCATTCAAGATGTTCAACCTATGCGCTTGTATTTCAAGTCTTGTCTAGCATTTTCTAACAAGAAAAAGGCAGCAAATTGAATTGAATTATTCTATGCCCTAGGTATTGGCTTTCCAACATGCATATCTGTAAACAACTGTGTTTGTCATTTTTCACCATTGATGAGTGAACCAGATGTTACATTGAAAAACGGAGATATGGTTAAAATGTAAGTAATCCTGATTTTTTACATCCTGATATTTTGTATCTGAAGAGCAGTAGAAACATATGTTGATTTTTTCTGGTTTTGCTGTTTTAGCTATTTATTTTTGCCAACAATTTTTTGATGATTCAGAGTTTGAGTCAGAGTTAATTGGGTTATATATATTTATATGTATATATAACCCAATTACCCAGCCTGGATTGAACTAGGCCAGTCAAAAACAGCAGCACATGACTATAAAGTTTGCCTTAGCAGTGTCACTTGCCCAATTCCCAATGGATTGCAAGGGTGTAAATATAAAATTAATATGGAAAAATTATTTTCTTAATTTTTTTATTGTCACTATAAACAGTCAGGATAAATTGTACATCAAAAAATCTTATGCACCAGTTTTATACTTTCAAATCATATTTGATGTTCTGACGTCTTGTACTCAGAAGAGTGTCAGATGAAAAGCTTATGTTTATGTTTGCTTTTTTCAAAGCCATTTTTAAATTCTGTACAGCAAAAAGATAGTTCCTTTTTATTTATTAAAGTTCATGAAAAAAATTTAGCTTAATGAATTGCTTTACCTTCCAGTGATCTTGGTGTTCATATCGATGGTTTTATAGCTGCAGTTGCTTATACAGTTGTTGTTGGGGCTACAAAGGTAATATAGATTTGAAATATCCTTCTGGTAGTATTTGTGTGTTTATTTCTAATGGCGTCTTGATGTTTCTAAAACCACAAGAACCCCAGGAAACATAGAATATACAGATGTGTTCAGTATATACATCTTCAAGTATCTAATTTTTGGTACCTTCAAATTCAAAGAACTTAAGCCAGTGAAAAATATTTGTCTTAGGATGATCCAATAACGGGAAGAAAAGCTGATGTTTTACAAGCTGCACATTTAGCTGGTGAGATTGCACAAAGGCTGGTAAAACCAGGAAATGAAAATGTACTTGTTACAGACAACATCCAGAAGGTTGCTAATTGCTTTAACTGTAAACCTGTTGAAGGTAAGTGCATTAATGTGAAATTATTATGATATATATATATATACTCAGTTTTATTTAAAAATATTTTCAACATGTGTTTTTATATGTTCTGGAATGAACGTTACATGGTATTTATATATCAAGGCAAGTGTTTACTTTAATAGGGCTTTTCTAAGAAGATATTGTCTGTAACATGACTTTTACCAAGTCGCCCATTGATATTTATTTAATTCAAAATAGTGAATTGTGTCTTAATGAAAGTTACTCTCAAGGCCTTTTGAAAAAGGGTTAGGCAGTTAGGTGGAAGGGGAAAGAGGACCACAATTACCATTTTGTTGTTTTTACAAGTGTTTGCTCTTTCATGCATATTTGGTCTGGAGTAACTTCAAAAGCTTGAAAATGTGGTTTAGATTTAAAAGGCAGTAAGCTTTGATGCTGTAGAAATTTTGTTGGAACCAATTGGAGAAGTATTAATTTAAAGCTGAGTAATCATGGTTTACCAGTTTCCTCTATTTGCATTTCTTTTTATTACCATTTCAGGTATGTTATCTCATCAGTTGCAGAAATACAGAATAGATGGGGAAAAGTCAATAATACAAAATCCAAATGAACAACAAAGGTTTGATTTTTTAACATTATTGCAGTCTTGAAAACTCTTGCATTCATTTATCCTAAAGGACTCATTTTGTTGTTGTCAGATCTATGCTGTTGTCAACTTAAGTCCTTTCAAGCCTGCTATGCTGTTTTTGTTCTTTTTGCTAATATTTATTCTATGGTCTTTTTTCTTTTAGGAAGGAACACAAGAAATGTGAATTTCAAATGCATGAAGTGTATGCGATTGATATTCTAATAAGTACTGGTGAAGGTAAAGCCAAAGAAAAGGATACAAGGACAACTGTTTACAAAAGAACAGAAGAGCAGTATAGCCTCAAAATGAAGGCTTCTAGAGGTACTTTGTTTTTGAGAGGTTCTGTTTTGATTTTTTTTTAAATAAACCACACTTTTTATATATATTTAATATGGAGCAAGTATGACATGTGCAAAATATTTTAAAAGAAGTTCTTATAATGTATCCAGTATAACTGAAAACCTACAGCCTGGAAATTCCCATAGAAAATTATTGCACAGCTTTGACATTTGAAAGCTTAAAATAAAAAATTTTAAACACAGTAACCATAGTGAGTATTGATCTTTAAACAGACATATTTTAAGGATAACTGTTTACACCTAAACAATATTACAAAAATGTTCAAGCTGTTATATATATTAGGTTCCCTTACCTATCACAGAACAAATAGTTTGTGGTTCTTTCTGAAAAAAACAGTTGTTTCTAATCAGCTACAAGTAACAGTTTAGTATAATCAGAAACAAAATTCATATTAGGGGGCTGCCTGTTTTGTTGCTTCCATTCAGCACTTTCTACAGGAAATATTGTACAGTTTGACAATTAATGGGCTAGTGTGCTTAATGCAGATTCAATTGTTTTTCAGTATTTTATAGTGATGTCTGCAACAAATTCACAATGATGCCATTCACATTAAGGTAAATAGCAGTTTCTCAAACTTTTTGCTAGCAATTTTCTAAATTTTGGCAATAACCAGTCTACAACAGATATATGTCATTTTGAGAGCAATCACTTTTATTGCTGCTCCTAACCTTTTTTCTTGCCCACTACTTTATTGCAATGCCCTTGATTTGTGGTGTTAGTTATATAATAAATGACATTAGCTTTGTTTGCCATCATTAGCTTAATGATTAGATTCTCACCTCTTGTGTAATTGTAACAACATTAAGGTTGTTTACTGGTAAGTGCCACTAATGGCTAGGTTAAAGGTGTGTCCCTGACCCAAATGTCAATTTCTCTTAGTGTTTACATATATTCTTTAGCAATATTATGTAATTTTTCATTAGGCATAGACTGATAGAGGAAACACATTTTCCACCCAACTGTAATTACTGACTTTGGTGTGGATCAAGCCTTGGTGTCAAAAGTGACAATCACGCCGCTGAACCAAACCACTCACTGAAATGAGTGGTGAACCTTTTAAGCCACATCTAGGAATCTTGACCATATCCAGGCCAGACTGTTTATTTTGACATCTATCACAATTGCTGGATTGTTTTATATCTTGTTTGTTATGTTTAAGGACTTGGTTTGAAAATGTAAAATAAATTTTAAACACATACGCTCCATCTTGTTGCAGCCATCATTGACTATCCTTAACAGCTTTATTTTTTCTTGATATGCAGAGCTTTTGAAGATGAAAAGAAGGCAAAGATGGGTGTAACAGAGTGCGCAAGGCACGAACTTCTAAACCCATACCCAGTTCTGTATGAGAAAGATGGTGAATTCGTAGCACAAATTAAGTTTACAGTTTTGTTGATGCCCAACGGACCACTAAGGTTTGTGCAATTCCTCTATCTCTTTTGAAATACAATTCGTATAGAATTTTTGGTACACACTAAATTTAACAATTCAGTCCAAGTAGTTCACAGTGTGGGTCAAGAAAGTAATTGTTATTTATGTTGATCAATAAATTAGTTTTTATTTATGATGATATAGCAAATGAACAGGGCTCAAGAAAGATAATTGATTGCCTTTACTCAAAAAGAATAAGAAAATTCTGCTTTTCAACAATTTGAATTCATTACAGATTTAAGGATGATTAATTATATATTTTTATTTTTGTTTATTTTTGCTATCAATCTTCAAAAGTTCAATTGGCCAGAGATCGTGATTTTCCTTTACTTCAAGCAGTTTTAATTTTTTCATGTCAAGCAGTTTTAATTTTTTTATGGAGCATCCAGGGTGAACCATGCAAATTGAAATAAGTTCTTTGGGTTAATACTGAGCTTTCTATAGGGAATCGTTTTAAGTTCCGATGGCTTTTTGCCTCCATGTTTGTCATGCAAAACGTTCACAATATTTATGTCTGGCTAAAGGAAGCAAAGTAGAAATGCTCTTTTCATCAGTTATATCTATTTAAGGAAAGGATGGTTAAGCAACTTGCTGTCAAAATTTAGCAGAAAGGAGCACAAATAAACCAAAACTTTTAAATGTTATTAATTAACAGTAGCATTCTTTACGACTTGCAAGACAATTGTAAGTAATTTTTGTTGCAAGATTTCAGATTTTGTTAAAATTTATCAGGAGATTTTAGAAATCCTTGCATGTCAATTGAGCCTCTTTGTATCACAGCTCTGTACACAAACTTTATATGTCTTAAGTAGATTTCGATGCCTCCTTGGATTATTTGTAGAGTTACAGTTTGCTAATAGACTGGAATACCTTTTGCATTTAGCATGAAGTTAGTTGGAAGCCAACAATCCCTGTGCTCTGGCATGTTAAAAAACCTGGACATGGCCCATTAACAGATGTAGTATTCCTCTTCGTGCTAAGCCTGGACTAGACAAAAATTACACAATAATAGGCTGCAAAATAAAAATGGGGACCTTTGCAGGCTTGTTTGTATCTTGTGACAATAGTGGAATTTTGCTGAAAATATGTTTCAAATATTTATTTATTTATTTTCATATGTTATAGCTTTTTGAAACGAACCGAATAATGTCATCTCATGATTTATCATTCTAGAATTACAAATGGACCATGGGATCAAGATTTAGTCAAGTCAGAATGCAGCATAGAAGATGAAGAGCTCAAGGTAACAACCCTCTCTAATGCATTTCAACATCATTTTTATTACCAAGAAAATTGAATCACCTGTCCGCAGGCAATACCCCATACAAAGCCACAAAATCCTCACAACTTCAGTCTTCGTCAAACCACACGCATTTTTTCTTTCATGCGTGCGATTCACACTCTTAAAAATCAGGCTATTTCTTTACGGGCAATTTGCAGAGAGCTTGAGTGTTTCTGCTGTGTTCATTCCGAGAACATTCTACATTACAGGGCAACTATAGGGAAATATCAATTGATACAGTGGCGTGGATAAAGGGGGGTCAAGGGGCGGGGCAACCCCCCCCCTCCCTGTACAGCTCAACTGCTGTTTTGTCGGAAAACTTCTGATCTGATCGGAGATTTACATGGCTTGTTTATTTAAATCAGGATGTCACATTTTGAGAGAAATATTTTAAAGCTGAATATGGTGATCTCTTCTGTTGTTCTGAATCAGATTGACAATCTCTTTTAATAAGGTATAGAACTTAAAAATGCCTTTTTTCAGAAAAAAGACAAGAACAATTTTCGAGTAGTATGATTTATGACACGTGACTCACGTGAAGTTATGTACAAAATTTTGAAAAAATAAAAGCACTTATAAATTTTTTGTCGGAAAATCTAAATTTCTCGCCCCTTTTATAAATTTTCCTATCTACATCACTAGATTGATATTAACCTTGATTGTCGGAAGATCTTCTTTTCGCGGGTCTATTTGTTGCCTGCCTCTCGCATCTATGATAAAAAAGCCCATTTTCTTTTGAGCAATTTTATCGATATTTACCCCGATAATGGCAAAAAGGGGAAGGTAAAAGTTTTGGACACTACGTGGCAACCGCCATGTTTCCGGGAGAATTTGAGCAAAGCAAAGCGATAAGCCACGATAGATAGCAAAACAGGCACTATTTAAAGAATAAGCCGATGTTGCTCAGCTTATGAAAAACAAAACTTCCAATGTTTCGTTGATGAAAACAATTTTATTCAGGTCAAAAATACAACTCATGCCTGCGATCAATCGCTCGCGTTATTGGTGCCATGCGTGTGCCGATGCGTGCGCGTGCGATCGTACGCATTAAATGACGAAGACTGAACTTGTACCCTGGTCCAAGACTGCTTCCTTGCAGTTGAGTCCCAATAGAAAAGCTAGTCGACTGTAGGTCATTTTGCTTGTTTAAAGCAAATAAGCTCTTCAGCGCTTTCCTAGAGATTGAAGCAAAAACAACCCATTTGATGGTGAAATGCAACTCAGTGCCACAATGTCTATGTACAGTAATTTGTGATTTGAGTGGTATAAATGCAGTCCTGTTACGCCTCTAATACCCTGTGTCAGCTTTGTTTTGGCGTTATTATTGCGTTGTTTTATACAGGGAAGACATATTAAATACTCCAATAGGCAGTTTGAAATATTTGTCTACCGCAAATACATGCCTACATTTTATCAAATCTCAATAATCATATGCTGTAGAATAATCAAGTCAATTTTTGGATGCATTTTTTGGCATTTTCATGCAAGCACGATTTATGTTCAAACCCTTTGAATTCTTAATTGCAATTTTTCTGCTCTTTGCAGACCATATTAGCATCATCGATGAATAAAAAAGCTCAGAAGAAGAAGAAAAAGAAGGTATGAAAGAGTTAGCCTAACTTACAAATTGTTGTGGGTTTTTTCGTATAAACGCCGTCGGAGATCTTTCTTGTCTAGTGTCTTTGAAAGTAACAAGTTCAATCATGGTGGTATAATATCGTACTAACAGATCAGTTAATTGGAGCCTTGCCTTCAGTTGTTCAGTTGAATGATTCAAGCCAGTTTTTAAAAAGGTTCTCCTAGAAAGGCTGCTTCTTTGGTATATTTTTTTCTGCAGCTGATGGGTGAAAAACGTATTGTACCGTGGGACCACTGCTTTGGTCCCTGAAAATATTTCAAGTCCCAGAATGCTCAATAGGCTCAACTTGGCAGTTGTTTATACTGCTAGTTTTGGCACAGAAAATATTTTTTAACTGCGGTCCCAGCAAGAATACATTTAGTTCACCCCTGCTGAAGTTGCTATTGTCCGCAGCCTCTATGGACATCCCAAATATGATGTAGTTGCTTTAGATTGGTCAATATTAACTGTTTCAGCAGGAGCATAAAAGCTGCCAAAACCTTAACCTGCATTAAAAATGCATCTTTGCTGTGCTTGCTTGCTAGCTGGCTCGCTCGCTCGCTTGCTTTCAGTCATATTTTTCATCATATGGTTTTCCGCCAACAAGCTGTTTATAAAATCGCGGAATTCAAAGTTGTACAACTACTTTTAGGCCGCAGCCAAAGCTTCAGAGGCTACCAAGGATGGGAAAGAGCCTTCAGAAGATGGAAAGGAGCCTTCGGAGTCAGTGGATGACTCGACTGCTAAGGTAGAAGAATAAATAATGAAATTGCAGCAATGAAAATTGAATGAGACGCTAACAAGGAAATAATGCCAATGGGAACGATATAACCGGAAGGGAGATGGATAGGGTTGAATGCACACCTTCAACTATGTCCTCTGTTTAACCTTCGTCTCACATAACGTAGTGGACCCAACTATTGGATTGAATCCTATTCAGTGAATAAATTCAAACTTCGCTAGAAATTAAGTCGTGTAACTGTGATTTTTGCATTGCATATTCTTATCTTAAAAACACCGTTGTATTGTTCCCTAGTTAAATGACATTTATTGCTGACATCAAGAGAGGGAACATCTTATGTGGTTGAGTTCCTTAAAGTCATGGCTGCTAAGCACAGAATCTATTTAATTTCTAGGTTTTTACTTTAAAGCAACGATTAGAAAGTATAAGGATGTCTACCGTTGCAACGATACAGTCATTTTGTTTTCCAAAGCCGCGCACAGATCTGTCATGAAAACCCAAGAATTGAATAATTTGCTGCATCCTGGACGTTAAAAAATGCATCCTGGATCATTTGGGTTTACCTGTTTTGTCACTCTAAAGGGTTTTTCACTCGAAAACCTTACCATATTAACCTTATTAAACCTAATTAAAGATAAAGGCCTTACCAAAGGAAGGACCAGTTATTTCTGTTTCGGATCAACACAATTCTTGCTAAAACAAATTTGTTTCTGAGAATCAATGTTCTGTTGCTGTATATTTTGCACATTACCATATAGTATAACAATACTAAAGGCGGGCTGCAGCCTGCTTCAAAATTTTATCTCCGTTATTATCTGCTTCTTACTCCCTAAAGCAGAAAGAATTATCAGGCGTTCATCTTTATTAGCAGGTTACTCAGAAATAGAATCAAACTTTGGTCTTTTTTATTTAATTAGGCACATATCTTTCTACAACTTAAGTTAAAATGAACGCAGGCATTAATTCTCTTTCCGCAATAACTGAACTTTTCAAAAGTTAAAATATATTTGCAAATGCTAACAGCCACGAAAATGTGTTAAATTACAAAGCCACTGAACGTATAAAATGCATAACACAGAAAATATAAATAATTTAGACAACCAAAAATGTATTAAAAACCATCAACTATCGGGTTCAACGCATTTTATAATGCATTTCACAACATAACATAAATCAGGTCGCGGGTCGAACTCGAGTTTGCATGGTCAATAAATATTAATTAGCCGGGTTATTTTTCAGTGTCATTGAGGCTCAAACCTAGAAGTTCAAAGTCGCCTGAGATTTGGACGGCGGATCGAAGCCGCTAGAAAATTGCATGCAAAGTCAGAATGCTTAGGACAGGATAGTTTTATTTGAAATAGTTCCTGTTAAAAACTAAGCATTTTCTGGCAATCATTTGGTTACGCAAGCATATAATAAATGATTGCATGAGAAGCAAAGAGATGCATTAAATGAAGACTTAAAGAGATGTACCGAGAAGGAGATTGAATTTTGTGCAGAATCTGCTGCAATCGATCTACTGTCTTTCTTGTCAAAACCGATCACCCAGAAAAGGAATGAAATGATCAAATTAAGCCGATGGCAATAATGAAATTATCAATAACCAGGATCAATGACGAAGCAGCATTTCAGAGGTTAACCCAAAACCATAATAAGTTTGGTTTCTTGGAAAAATGTGGCTGTGCCATGGCTTGACATAAATTATGTATAATGCTAGACCATTTCCATATTTGGCTCTTCAAATTTACTTTCGCTTAGGCCAAGGAAACCACTACAAAAAATTGTCCCGCACACACTTAAATTAGACTGGTTTTTTTAAACTTGATTTGTAACGATGTTCAGACCATTTATTTTCTCTGAAAATCTTTTAATATGTCTTTTACGGGTTGACAGGGGTGTGGCATCTGGCCTCCAACATTGACCAATTAGTATTTGAAAAAGTCTTTCTTTTGCTTTATGTTCCTTGCTATTTAATCTTTGAGACATTGTTTTTGTTTCCTAAAATATTTAACCCCGAATTAGAAATTCTACATTACGTATAAGTAGAGATTTACTCGATGTATAGGTTGAATCAAGATCGTTTTCGGAGGTAAGTCTCGTCATTTCCTGTGTCATCTAGAAAGGAAACATATTATGAATTTTGATTCTCACCGATAAGAAAACTACTATTAAAACATATTGCCCAAACAAATTTCCGCGTTGCTACGAAGCATTTTAACGACATTTCTTCAAATGACACATAATGAGGAGTCTAACGGGACCTATTTTTGACAATGACAGTGAAATAATGACATACCGTAAATCGTCGAATAAGCTCCCTGGGGAAATTATTGTGGACATTAAGAAGAAATTATTGAAAGACCTCGTTTATTTTAGGGAGAATCTCTTTATGAGCATTGAATAAATTAATTTACCAAAAGTATGAATTTTTGTGGCAATTTAATAAAATGCCAAAGGCAACATCAGATGGTAAAAATCATCAAATTGAGGGGTCCAATTCAAAAATTTACAGTAGCAGTGGGGGCTTATTCGAGGAAGTGGGTCTTATTGACAATTTGTAGTTCTAGGTTGGGGGCTTTTTCAAGGGGAGGGGGTTTTTCGAGGGGGGGGGGCAATTCGAGGATTAACGGTATGTGACTCTTGGATAGATTGGCAAACGGGGAAAAAAGATTTTGTTTGTGATTGCTTTCCAAATCATTTAGATACCTGAAGGTTTACCAAATCATTTCGATCTATGATATTGTTATGCAAAAATGCTAGATCCAATATGCCTATGTATTCTCTGTGTAAATACGATTATACTCACCAAAACCTTTATCTTCAAATGAAGACGGCTTGCTGATAGCAAAGTTGATAATTTCATGTGAGATCTTTGGTTGATTTACACCATACCTGTGAGATGACGAGAATGTCGTATGCAAAGGTGTTATCTGAAGGACTATATTTATGCAATCAGGAAACACTTGAGGTACGTGGAATTAAACGAATTCAAGTATATATCACGTATTATTCTTTCAAGTTAACATTTGTCTGGGATTGCTCATAATGTAATCATGCAATGTGTTTTCCAAAGTTTAAAAAAGGACGTCATATTTAAGTTGATAACTTTAATACCAGTGGGAAACGTACCAGAAAACAGTGTAAGCTCTATTCGTCCAGCTCCCTTCTGACCTCGTGAAATACCTACAAATGCAACAGGATCCATGCTTTATGCATAAATGAAAACATTATGCTTTTACCTTTAAATCCACAAAAACAATGATATAGGACAATTTGCCTTCAAAATATGGCCTCTTATGAATAATTGTTAACATAAATATCGCCTTCTAGCACCTGAATATATCTGGGAAATTTAACATCCGTGCTCTACCTCATCAGTCGGATGCAGAATAACTGGGAGTGCTTCCCCACCCAAATGTTTACATAATATCATCTTGAAAGTTACTCTTGTGCATCGGCAATTTGGAAAGGAACTTTGAGGTTAGGCGGTGAGGGGGGTGGTGGTGGTAATGCTTATGCAATGCCCGAAAATCCTCTTATTGCAAAATTAAAACAATGTTAATTGACGATCTGAGCATGAATAGGCAATATTTATAAGAGAGAAGTTAACAAAACCCAGAAAGAAAAAAGGGAAATTTAAACAGATTAGAAAGAATATCAGATGTGACTTCACATTACATAAAAATTAAGGATGAGTTTTTTATGTGGAAACGAAATGAGCATAAAAAGAAATATGACAATGCAAGGGAACCTGGACAGCTTTCTAATTACTTTGATTTTCAATAAAACAGACGTTACCAAGGGTTAATTCGATTGTCATCACGAGATCGCCAGAAAAGTCTTGGAAAATCATCTCTGATTCTCTCCCAGATCGTTTCGCCAGAACCCAAGCCTTGATTTTGTAGACTGACAGCAAATTTGTCAAGATACGGTACGCCTTCGACGTTTTCGTTCGTGATGAGTGCTGCAGCGGAGTAACTAAAATAACAGATTTTGAGAGGGTTATCTGATAGGACCGAAGGACAGCTTTCATGGTCCATAACAATAATTAGCAGCATATTAAGTTAAAAATTTTTCCTTTTCCTATATCAAAAGACAGTAAAAGACGCAAATGTACCAAAACGTACCTTTCTGTGATGTACGCAGCTATGAGTTTCTGGTTTATTTCAGGAAAGTAGGAACTAGCCAGCTTTCTACCAAATGTTCTAAAATAATGAAACTCGTGTAGTAAGTAAGATGGCAGGGGCGTTACGTTTAAAAGGGAAGCTTTTTATGGCAATGCAATTTGAAATGCAATGAAATGCTTGAAAGGGTCATTATGGGTCAACAAACAATCAACAAAAGTTGCCAGATAATTTTCTGTACCTGGAGTGCTGTGCCTAGCATAAGCAAAACTAAATAATCATAAATATTTGTGATTGTATACCTGAAAGGACGTTTCCGAGCAAGAAAACTGATACTAATTATACCTGATAATTACAAGAAATTGCTTACTTCTCTATTAGATTGGTGAGTCTTGTTGTATCTATAGAACCGAGGCTTTTATGCACGTGTAAAGCCTCTCTCTTCTTGAAGATTGTTCCAGAACCTATTGCAGAATAAATTGCATAAGCTCAAGAAGTTGTTAGTTCCCTTACCAGTGTTTGTCCTGATATTTCTGTTACTTCTAGGCAGCAGAGTTTTGCAGTGCCTGTAAGTGTGTTTGGGGCTGAAGGTAGCAAGTCAAGCAAGGTTTGAGGTGATTTTTCTTATCAAAGAACAAAGGTTACCTCAGAGAACATTATTATTCAGTCTGCAAGAGAGAATCTTAGCTGCGAAGGAGATATTTAATTATGGAGAAGAAACAAAATAGACTTTGGCAAAGTTTAAAGAAGTGGAGGACATCAAGTACACGGTCACTCTTTGGAGAAGAAAAAAGCTGGACACCATAAGGGGACAGAATCAAATGCAGCGCCTCCTCAGATCTTAAAATGTACTCTCCAATTATCAATAAGAAGGGTCATACAGTACGTCCCCGCTTAAAAGAAGGTCGGACTTTCTTATGGGGCTGTCCAGTTTCTTTTATGCAAGAAAATATTTTAAATGACCAAGGCTGATTTTTAATATGACCATTCAATTTTTTTACAGAATGCTTTCTTGCCAAACAACATCCTTCTATTTTTTAGCTGTGCCTCATTTATAAGAAATTGAAGGAAATCAGACTGCCTAGATTCTTTTTGAGGACAAATATATTCTATACTGGTAGGCTGCAGTTTCTTATATGTTTATTTCTTTTAAGCGGGACTCGCATACTTTGATTATATCGAGTAAATATGTAACAATTATGATTAGGTAGGGGTCATGAACCTGTTTTCCCTACTCCTTAACCCCACTACCTCCGTGATCTTCTCACACCCCTGTTTTGCTTTAGAAAGTCCTTCACTAACCTTTATGAGTGAACAGCTCCTTGATCACCGTGTTCGCTGACGCAATCACAACAGATGACGTAAATGGTAGCTTATCCAAAAGGCCTTTGATTGATCTAATTCTTTCATGAGTCTCGTTATCGTGCCAAGGGAAGGAGGATGCTTCGTCGTTTTCAGCTGATAATTTGACTGCCTCAATAACTCTTCCCTTTTCATTTAATAATCCTCCTTTTGTATTAAGATACATAACTTTTAGTGGTTTATAATGAACGGCTATCTCATCAGCAGTCCTGAATGGACAAATGTGAACAATTTTCCCATCGTCTGTTTCAGCAAGCGATGATACAATTGGGATGTAACCAGAACTAAAACAAAATCCACTCAATTTTATCTCGTGGTTTTCTGTTATCACAAAGACCAGATGCCAAAAAATGTCGTTGGGGTTTGGAGAAGACAAAAAAGAAAGGTATGTTGTGATTAATTATTGTCAAAAACATTTTTTTGGGCAATTTCAAAACGGCAATTTGATGTTTTTACAGTGTCAAAGCTTTAAATGCTTCTAAAATTTGCATCTACCCGTCAAGTATTTGATAAACTACAACAGTTTATTTTGGGCGGATTGAACCTATCAAGCTGGTATTAAGGACAGGAGAATGCAGGGTAATACAGTATCCCCTAAACCAGGTTTCAGCCAAAGTACATTATACATATGAACATAATTTGTGAACAAAAAGATTATCTAGTGTACCGAAAAGGTTCTACAAAATATCAGTTTCACTATAAAATAATGAAAGATATCCAAAATTCATTAAATTAAATATGCGAAATATAACATATAAAGCATGAAGCAACAGAAAGTACCTTAGACTCCAGGTAAGTAGATCTGTGTTTAACTCGTACGACCTTCCCACCTCGTCTCTAACAAGGAATATTGTTTAAAGGTAAATTTCGATACAAAATTAATTGAGCATTTCATTGAGTTATCCAAAAAAATTTTATTTAGTTCATTGGGATCTCGTATCGTAGTTCCAAGAATTTTTTGGTGGTACAAAAATTTAAAATGGCTTTGATAAAAGCAAACATTTGAGTATACGACCAAGAATTGTATGCGTTCTGACATTGATGGGCGGACACGAGAATGGCCTACCGCCTTTTTTAGATTGCGAGGTTCTAATGAAAGAGCAATATTAAAGGAAAATTTGGCCTAATTATTTATCAAACAAAATGATACCTGTTTGCTTTAATTATTCCACTACAGTTGAAGAAGGGGCGCGTTTTGGCCCCTTGGCTCTCCAACACATCTGATAACTGCATGGTTTGATCAGAGAGTTTCGACCGGGCGATACATCCGCCATTTCCACCATGAACCAGAATAAATGACAGACCACTTCGTTGTAAGAATGCCAAACTTGATGCTAAACTGTTCAGCTGAAATAGAACTTTTTCATAATAGGCAGTGAAAATGGAGATGAAAAGTGGTGGAAGAGCGATTGTCTCTTAGCTACAAAAGTTTGCGCGTATCTCTGGGATGCTTTGCTTAAGAATTTATTATTTTTTATTTGAATCATTTGGTTTTGTGTCATTTCAATCATCTATTTCTATTGCATGAAACAAATCTTATCTCAAAACCAGTTTTTCAAAATATCTGGCGGCAAAGTTGTCAGAATTCCTGAAAACCAATGTAGTCATGTGGAAATATAGAAAAGGTTAACAGAGAAAATAACGAATTCCAAGAAGACAACTTTGGTTTGACTAGCTGCTTGGCCTAATCACCACCAAAGGTCGCCACGTTTGTTGTGACGTATCAGCTCCAATCGCATTGGCCTTGTACAAATCAAGCCATATAAGTCATACCTAGATAAATTTCTTAACCACGACCCTATGTTTCATTTTTACTTACTTCATCAAATTTCTTCCCTTTGTTGCCTAACTTGGTTTCTACCTAGGCATAATCAGCCCACGTGGTCACTCAACAGGCGAAGACTGCTTAGACTCGTCAGGGGATCACTATGACTCGTCTGTGGTATATCTCTTTGTACTGTAGTCAGATTAGTTCAACTCAGTAACAACAGGGCGTGCCTGAGAATTCCCTCAACCTTTGATTTACATGTTAAATAACTATTTTTAGCTGAAAAATAAACCTATACAAAGTAGACAAAACTAGTAGCCAGTTTTCTCGCACTATAGCAACTGAAACGGAGAAGTAGCAGTCAGAAACATACTGACTTTTCAAAACGTGGCAGCGGGAGAACAATGCATAATGAAACCGGAATACAACCTCCCAGTATCAGCCTCGCCATGCGATTTATTCGTCACTCAGATAATGGCATATAAAATTTCCTACTTATCAAGCCTTTCAGAACTGGATAACATCTTAAGCAATTGGCTTTCGAACAATATATATATATATATAAAGAACTTTCTCTTATAATTCTTTACACGAAATAGTAAAACGTTTTCTTCTGAAATTTTCAATTCGAGCACTCTGGTTTCTTTAACAAGGAATGGGTTGCATTAACAGGAAAAATTGTAAGAAAAATCGTACCATGTGCGGCCTTTTGAAAATGCTGCTTGAAACTTGGAAAACTGCAAACGGCTGCTCTGGATTTGCATCTCTGTGTTGGAAAACCTTGAGCCAGTAGCGAGCTTCCCTGCCATCCGTTCCGACCTATCAAAATTTAACCTCTTAATTACAATGGCAATACAGAAATTCGCTTCAACTTTATCCAGGTATTTAAAGAATCTCGTAAAAAATCCGCGTAGAAAGGAATATTGGCAGATACTAAGTTAATTATGTCAGAGGATTACACAGAAACTGCTGGTAGGAAACGATTAACTGACAACGTTAACAACGTTACCTCTTCTAAAAATCGCTGGACATCCCATGATAAGCCATTGCCATTCCAACTAGATACTCCGTTTGGGAATGCCGAGCCTCTTTCGCCCCAGTTTGCTTTTGCACTTGTTGCTAAAGCTCGCGCTCTGAGTGTCTTCGTTACCACATTAGCTGACCAAGCAGCCTTCTGTAGCCTAAGCTTCATCGTGCGGTACCTAAAGGTCATGAAAGACAATAATAGAACCATTCCTATTACAGAAAAGTGCCATCTGGTTAGATAGGGTTACGAACCGATGTAATTAAGTCATGTGAAACCGACTGAAACTTATGCGCGCGATTTCTCGCGAGAAATACGCAGAAAATTCGCGCAAACCTAAGATACAATCGGAAAATCCATTCAATATATAGGCAAAAATAGCAACAAAATCAGCTGGAGAGAAAATTCAAAAGCTGCTCATAAAATAAGGCCACCTGTGTCAAATATGCTTATAAATGAAAAGAAACTGATCGCTCGATAATCCTCGAAGGGAAAGCAGAATCAATCTGGGATACATAATTTCAAAAGTGGCTTTCTAAAGGCAATTGTATAGAGAAGTGATGTTTCACAAAAGTCAGCAGAGCGGACAGTCTCACAGTAATAGTTAATTGAAGAATTAAAAATAATACAACAACAGTATAGGCTTTAGCGAGAGGAAAATTATTTGGCGAAGGAGGGGGGCTCGATGGTCTCCTCGAGATACTCTGAAAATGCTTTATATCACAATATTATCAAATATTACCAAACCAAAAGCACATGATATTCTGAAAATATACACTGTACTCTATAGATTAAGGGGAGAACCCAGGCCTCATAGCCGCTACGGCCTTGTATCGATTCACAAAAATTAACCACACTAGTGCGACAGAAAATTAATAAACATCAGGCGGCAATTCTGGTGTCAAAATTATATGCGGAAATAACTTGGGCAGACTTCCAAGCGAACTTTCCCAATACATTTCACTATGGATTATTCTTCGAAAGCAACACCCTCCTGATAAAATCTTACCAGATTTTTTCCTGTTTTGCAACGTTGTTGTCGGTTGTTTATAAATAAATAGTTTCGTCATCAACTTGAAAGCTTGAATGCGAATATCTGCGCGTGCATAAGCTAATACAGAGTCAGATGAAGTGAATCTTCAACTGTCGGCCAAAATGTATTTGAAAGTAAATCACTTTAACTTGTTCTAAAACTCGTTTGGGTTGGCTAGGTTTTTTTAAATGGGTTCCGACAAAAGATATTGTTTATAAATACTAGGCGTATCTATTCTTAAGGGTAAGATAATGCGAACAAGATTCTCCAAATATACCTTGCCAACAGAGTTTGTGTATGGTAACAAAAGACTCAGAGTTTGTGTATGGTAACGTGGCTGAAATGATCACCACTAATGACGTTAGTCCATTCTGGTTTTACAATTAATGTGTCAAGTTTTAACAAAAACTAATATTTCGCTTCTTTATCAAAGGGCATATGACGCAGGGGCGTCGTGGCGAATGAATCCTAGAGGGAGCAAGAAAGAAACATTTTCCCACAAAATTTCTTTGATTAATTTTGCTCAAATAGAAGCATTTAATGCAAGTGCAAGGGTCGGGGCACAAAGGCCCATAACTTTTTGCCTTGGCTAGAAAAATATTCAAAATGCACTTTTTTCGTGTCTCTGTTTCTTCGTACTTACAGTGAACATCCCTGACACCTTTAGCTTAGGACAATGGTAGAATGAAGCTACTACCTGAAGCGGCACTACTGGATGCCCCCGAAGCAATTTGCCGTTTCGTAAACGGTCGTTGCCATCCTTTACGGTCGCGGCCATCACCAGCCTCCTTTTTATGTTCGGAATGAGGTCGGGAATGAGAAGGAAATAAAAAGAGCGGTAAATAGTCTTCGATAGTCTTGCGAGGCGAAGTGTGAAGAATGTCTACAGCTCGGGTAGGGAAGAAGTCTCTGAAAAGACTCTATAGCTTTGTCATAATCATTCACTGAAACATTATGTAATAGTTTGCTGTATTGAAATTCAAATGAATCTTCAGTGTCAGAATATAATGCCTGTTTAAATTGACTGAGAATCTCAGGTCTGTCTGCTTGGCTTATTTGATGGTTTTTATCTAGAAGCCATCTCCAAACTTGCTGGAGAATATGAAAAATGCAGAGAAGAAGTTTAGCTGGAGGCCAAACAAAAGATAATGCATTTCGCTCTGCATTGCAATTATCTGTCAAAATTATCAAGGGACCTTGCTCTGGCCCCCTTCCAAAAAAAAGCATCTGTTGGAAGACTTTTTTTGACCATTTCAAAGCCTTGCTTTAGTGTACTTTCCTTTTCATCCGAAGTTATTAACAGTTTCCTTTTCATCCGAAGGCAATGTATCTGCCACATTGTGGGTGCAAAAAAGGAATAGCTTAAAATTATGGTCTTCTGTATTTGATGAAGCATCAACAAAAATCCGCTCCCCACTTTGCTGTACATATTCATTAACAGAGTAGCTTTAGCCACAATAAGTGGGTAGCCATCACCACCATAGAGCTGATAAGCTGTGTTTGCTTCTGGGTTTGCTTCTTTGTAAGCATCTAAACAGTCAACCAACTTTTTAAACATTTCTATATTCTTTCCACCATACTTTTCTAGGCCAAATTGTTCATAAATATAGCGAAAGTCCCTTCTACTTGGAGTTATAGACCTATCAGCTTTCTTTATATGGTACTCAATGTCATTTTGTAGTGTACCCTGAGATCTACCAAATATTTCTGTCTGACAGTTGGAGTTGTTTGACCATCTCATACATTTTCTTTATGTCATCAATGCATTCTTTGGACAAATCTTTAAAGTTGTATGCCTCCAGATTGTTGATTGTGTTGTTATGTTCCCAATCCAACCTGATGGTGCAAACGTTACTCAAATCTACTTTCACTGAAGGATTAAATATGCAGTTTGTGTTCTTTACTCGAGCAGCTGGATTGTTTGCCAGCTTTCGTTGTGGGTCTTTCCTTGGGCTCCAATTTCTCGTATAATTTTGACACTGATAATAATTTTGCACCAAATAGCCTCTTGTTGCCTTTTTCTTTGCAGCTATCTTGAGAGTTGCACTGTTCAAATCCTGAAAGTCTTGCAGCCACTCCTCAACATTTTGCTCTGTAAACTCATGCAAGCTAAATGACACGTACAAGCTAAATTTTCACTCCTCATTTCTGAATAACTGTTCAATTGTGTAGAAGTAGGCTTCTGGCAATCTTTCCAGTGCCCCTTTGCCTCAACGCTTAAATTGTTGCTGTTAAATTGGTTGCTTATGTCATGAACAGCTGTGTCAATAAGGTGATCTAGTTCCGATGTAAAACAAATTTTTTTGGCCATGGCCGCTTATTTTCAGTAGGCTCATCCCGAATATAAAACAATTCCCGCTCTTTTTATTTTATTCTCATACCTGACCTCATTCTGAACATAAAAAGGAGGCTGGTGATGGCAGCGACCGTAAAGGATGGCAACAACCATTTACGAAACGGCAAATTGCACCTCCGAAGGGGAAACTTTTTAAAATCTATTGCTTCAAATTCGCCAGAAAGTGCTTTCTTTCTGCAAAAATTTTCAAATCTTGGGCAAAATTTTCAAAAATCTGGTGATAGGCACATAATTGGCACTGTTCTGGTCTTCAATATCAAATAAAGATATAATTTATGACAAATATTGACCAATTCCTATAACCAAATTTGGCCCTTGAAGATTCGGATTTTATCTCTGACAAAATCTGAGCAGCAAATCATTCTATGGTTGAAATCTGTAAATCCTGAAAAAACATTTTGAATTGTGGAAATATAGTATTTTCTTCAAAAAGTGAATTGCCCCTCCAAATTAAGATAAGTATTTTCTAAAATTTATGTTTATCTTAATTTATGTTGCTAAAAGTTTGAGAATTACCCACTGCTCAAGTCTGGGAATTTTCCAACAAAACAATGATTTTTTCAGAAAATCCAACCCCTCCCTGCCTACAAGCCATGACGTCCCTGCTGTGTTGTGAACATTATGGGTTGCTTGTTACCATGCAGACGGCCTAGAGGGTGAGACTTTAATTCTTTAGTACTGTTTTCATTACTAAAGGACATACAAAAGCTAGTCAATTTCTTAAAAACTTCTTACCTAAAACAACAATGTTTACGGTTTATTAAGATGGATGCAGAAGTGTCCATGTGGCTTAAATTTGGGTGTGAACAAAATGATGTTATTAAATATGGATGTGAACAGAAAAATGTAATCGATAAAAAGCCTGGCAACCAGTGTTAGTTTTAAGAGATCAATCAAAAGAGTGGAAAGGTGACAATTGCTCATGCAAAAATTGTAGATAAAGAGGCCATGTAGATAAAGTATTTCTTTAAATAATTTAGTGATATATAATTTGTTTTTATTCCTGTTAATAGTAAGTAGTTTAATTAGTTCAAGTTAGAAGTATCTTTTTTAACCAACTGTTAATAAATAATGTTATGAAAACTTTTCATTTGTCAATTCCATTAAACTATAATTACAGTCCTTGCTGTTAGAATTCAATAAATATATTTTTGGCAACTGGCTAGCCTGGGTTACAGAATAAGACTAAAACAATTGATAAGAAGGCAGAAATTCAGAAAGAAAGAAAAAACTAAAATGTATATTTATATCACAATGGTAGGAGTTGTGGGTTTTTCCATGTTTTATTTCTACAGCAAACAATTAGTAAGTAGTACAAATAGCTTTGTTGAAAAGTTTGAAGATAAAATAATAATAACAACAATGATAATAATAATAATAATTATGAAAGAAGGAGGACTGCATTGGTTATGTAGTGAAATGGCCAGTAATGGACTGGGATTGATAAAACCATCAACCAACACATCCCCGAGGCACTAAAGAAATGCTTATATAAGTAAAGGAAAAAATGAAGATGATAAGAGAATTATATTTGCATTACTTATAATTGACTTAAATTAAGCAAAACAATGTTATGGTGGACATTCACCTAAATAGAATGAAGATACTATATAAAATCCAATTCACTTGGGTTAAAGAATAGCTTTTCATCATTTATGAAGCTTGCAATTAAAATTTTCTTAAAAGAAAGTCTCAGTTAAAACGGCTAAGGCAAACAAAAGGAGATATCTTAAAATATTATGGAACAGGGGAAAAGCAGACCTTTTTCATTATCAGGCTCCAGTCTTCTTAGTCTACAAAATGACAACTGTACCCTCACAAAAATTAAAAGAAAAAATATATATAGGTTCAAAACCTCCAAAAACAAACATCTTTTTTTTGACAAGAGACAAAATTTACCATCAAAATTGCTATTTAGCAAAATGGGGGCTCTCACCCTTGCAAAATGCTTTAAGGGTCTAGTTTTGATCTTGCCTGAATGTCATTAATTTATTGTAAAATGTAACTAATAATAGAACTGCTCGAGTTAAGCCTGCAGTAGCTTGGCTTTAGCTCTCCCAGCCCCAATGTCTCCTACGCCTATGAATTTAGCAGCTTCAAAGGTAGTCAACGACTTTGAATCAATGTAAACTAAAAGCTCATTAAATTTTATTTCGAGCGTGGTGCTCATCTCATTTGAAGGGTTTGCCTTTCCGTCTATATTTTACATGATACTTTCTGCAAACAAAATTAAAACATTATCGTTGAAAAAATAACTTTATTTTTCACCATGTTTGTATGTCATGTTGACTCTTAGCCTCCTTAAAAAATTGAAGACATTTAAAATGAAAATATCGACGTTGTGCATTTCCAAATCCCAAAGCCAAATATCGAAGAGTAAGAGGATTCATATCCTTTTTGAGGAAACTTTGTGTCCATGCGAACTATTTTAGGCTCTTTATTTCATGACCCACAACAAATTTATGGACATTCGCAAAACTATTCAATGACTACAAAAAATAATGGCCATTCAAAAAATTATTTCATGACTACATACATACAAAAAACCTACTTAGGCTAGGCCCTTATCGGAAACATCTTGCTAACAACATAATGAACATTTGAGGAATATATTGTAGAAATACCTGCTGAAGTAGCAAGATTTTGATGAGTCTTTCAAATATTAAAGCCAGATTTTCTTCTTCCTGTGTTTACAAGAGAAAACAATTTATGTAGCTGCTAAGGTGCGAATGTGTTCCCGTTATCACTTGGGGCGACATGAGCTGATGAAACAATTCAAATCGAGGTTCGAACTGGAGGTGTGTTCAGCGTATGGCAGGCCGTAGTGGACAAAAGGTTGTTGCGAAAATGTTTGCATCTTCAGATTAAATTTGTACAAGTTGAGCTTCATGTTTGATGTTTGAGTTTTTGTATTTGGTGCCCGAGATTCGAATTTATTGTCCGAGATTTGTATTTAGTATCCGAGAATAGAATTTGTTGACGGAGATTTGCAGGGACGAAAACAAGTTGCTAATTTTGGGGGGGCGTGGAAGTATGAAAATTCCAACTTCAAGCGATAGATTTTTCATTCGACCAGTATGTAAAACCTCTTAAAATGGGGGTTTTACAAACGTGAGTTCTTTGTAGGCAGAAATTCTCAAAAAATACGGCAACGGCAGATAAGATCAAAATTCTTCTTTTTATGGCAATGATACGACTAATAGACAGGACATATAGCCTGACAATCTGACATTCAAGCTAATGTTTGCTTTCTCAACGGATTCTGGTAGTAGAGAGTTCAGGCTTTCATAATATGCCAGGTGACTTTTTTGAAAATGCCTGGATGTCACGTGACTGATGACGTCATTTAACGGCAAAAAGTCAGACAAAATCATCGTTAGCTCCTCACTGAAGGGTTATTTTTTAACGCAACTTACATATTTTGACTCGTCTCATTGCAAGCTTTCAAATGATATATATATTTAAGCAAGATTTGCCGACATAAGTATTTTCATTATGACGTCATAAAAAATTTTGCATGACGTCATCAAATATTTTATTGTCATAAAATGATACGTTAGCATAATTTTGTTTTAATATGACGCTTGCTGTCAGCAAAAGCTTTTCTTCCATATGTTTTTCAATCAAGATAATTAGTATTCAGTTCATTTAAATTGAATTTGTGCCAACCGCAAAGCCAAAGTTCAAATAAAGAAGTCGCTTCTTCCTCCGAAGTTGCAAAGTCTTGCTCCCACTTTGAATCCGCATTTGAATGTTACACTAAATCGGAAGAATGTCTTGGCAATATAGGCTATCCAAGATGTCCTACCGATGTGCTGAAGGTGCATGACTTTTTTCAAAAAGGTTATCTTCTGCTGCGAAATAAGGCCATCTCATAAATAATATACTCCATCTGGCATTTTTCTGATGGTGGATTTATATATTGTTTTGGCTCCTTGCACATGAAATTAAGAAGAACAGCTTTATCTCCTTGTCACAGTACACCTTCAGGAGTTGCAAGACTAGAGTTATGGTTTTGATGGGATATGAAAATGCCTTTTCGATAGAGGCAGCCTTGCCAATCACGAAAGCTTGGTGGTCTTTGTTCATTATTGAGACTGCTTTCGCTGTTTTCCTGGATCTTTGTGCCCCAGAATGCAGCTTAAGTTTCTGACTATACTTTCGTTGCCAGCAACGACCTACAATTCGAGCAAAATAGCTCATTTCTTCGAGATATTTTTTCCATGTTAGCGCTAGTGTCATCAGTCCGTGAGAACATTTTGTAAAAACGCCATCAGAAAACGCCAAATGGAGATTTGATGAGACGGCCTGAGTTCGTAGCATCAAACCCAAGGAAGCATTCAGTGTTTGGTTCAAGAACATCCATGGATGTGCTAATCCTCCTTATGAGGCTAAAGCAATGGAAGTGGAAACAAAGTCAACGCTAAATATTTAGAAACAGCACACGAGCAAGCAAACGGCAAAAGAGAGTCATCAAGGCAAGTGCATATAAAAAGTGGAGAGCAAAAGATACTCCAAAGTAAGAAGAGTATTTTTACATTGATGAAAAAAAGAGAATCTTATGAGACTTGCTCCCGAATTCTTTCGAAGCGCTGAGGGTCACAGGCCCCTGACAATTCAATTTATCGTAGCTTAAGGAGGAGAAGCATCGGAGACTTCAAAAAGCAAGTAGAAGTCCCTTCAAGATGTAACCACAAAAACCAGAATATTTTGCATGGTAACTCGAAAGATGCAAAAGTAGTTGCTGTTGCAAAAGAAACTGATTTATGTGTGCTGCTTGTTCATGCAACACAGAAGTGCAAACCCACAAATTAGTGGTTTATGTGCATAAATAACAAACAAATCGTCAAGATTTGAGGCATCGCTGAAACTTTTGGTTCCAAAATTTGCTGTATTTTATCACAGATTAATGGAATTGTGGGCTGAGACAACTGCATATATATAAGCACAACATTGATAAGGTTACTGTGAAAAAAGCTAACGAGGAACCAGAAACAAGTCATCATTAAAAGTCTCTCCGAAGGAGTTATCGCAAAAGCAAAGACATTCGCGAAACAGCAGAATATAGTGGAACAACATATAAAAGCTATTTAGGGACAAAGATATTTATCAAATCTGAAAAAATCATCTGCAGCAGTTCCAGCAGATCCATAATCACTCAATCAGAAAAGAATTAAATTGTATCAACTTAACAAGGTTATTTTGGCTACACTGTTTAGGTGCAACTACTACAAGACATGTCCCAAAAGCCTGATGTTGAAATTTGGACGACATACTCGACCGTTTAAAGTCTAAATGGTTCACAGGAAAGCAGCTTCCTCATCTCCGAGAGCTTCCTTTACATCACAAGAATATGAAGGTAACGCAGGAGATGAATTTACCCATGAAGAAAATCATACACTTTCATACCCAGCGCTAAAGACCTATAGTGCGAAGACATCTTGGACAGCCTATAATAGTGCGAAGATATTTTCCGACTTAGCAACAGTCAAATGCAGATGCAGAGAAATAATTGTCCGGTTCAGAGTGGGAGCAAGACTTTGCGACTTCGGAGTAAGAAGTGACTCACTCGTCAGATAGTGACTACTACCTGTTTCAAACTTTGGCTATTGCGGTGGGCACAAATTCAATTTAAATGAACTAAATACTAATATTTTAATTGAAAAACATATGGAAGAAAAGCTTTTGCTGACAGCAAGCATCATATTAAAACAAAATTATGCTAACGTATCATTTTATGACAATAAAATATTTGATGACGTCATGCAAAATTTGTTATGACGTCATAATGAAAATACTTGTGTCGGCAAATCTTGCTTAAATATATATATCATTTGAAAGCTTGCAATGAGACGAGTCAAAATATGTAAGTTGCGTTAAAAAATAACCCTTCAGTGAGGAGCTAACGATGATTTTGTCTGATTTTTTACCGTTAAATGACGTCATCAATCACGTGACATCCAGGCATTTTCAAAAAAGTCACCTGGCAGATTATGAAAGCCTGAACTCCCTACTACCAGAATCCGTTGAGAAAGTAAACATTAGCTTGAATGTCAGATTGTCAAGCTATATGTCCTGTCTATAACGGCTAACAACAAGTTCGACAAA